CTTTTTAATGGTGATTGGCATTTTTGTCCACGTTTTAGGTCCAAAAGTAAGTACCAAAAGGCCTAGAGCTAGTGAGACAGAACTCCGACCACCTTTACGGCTGAGATCTCTACACAAACCAGCCTCACTCTAAAGAAGTCTCATGGCCATAAAAGATCCCTCAAGTTAGCAGTAAGGGAAGTGGCGAATTCATCACTGTCACGGACTGTCCCCCCGTTAGCATGCCTTTGGAATAGATCCCCTCAGTGATGAATGGGAATCTCTCGCCTGATAAGCGCCGAAAGTTCCGAAGAAATGTAGGCAGGTCAGTTGAGTTAAAGACGGATCATTAAGTAACGATTGTAAGTCTGCAGATTAGTGACTACTCAGCCTAATGAGAAGCCGAACCATAAGCTGAACACTGCCCCTCCTACTCAGGCGAAAAACGTTCCGACCACCCGCAACTCAGGGCGGAAGCCACCTGCATTTCACCACCAGCCTCTTTCAACCATCAAGCTAGCATCTCAGGTCTTCCGAGTCACTGGCAAAAGGCTCATCAGAAATCCGAGTCTGTATTCACAGATTGGAATAAGCTCCAAAGACAGACCACAACCTCAATCTTAGATCACTCATATTCTTCAGCGTTCAGGAAAGCGGTTCCTCCCTATTGACTGGCCGTGAAGAACACACCTTGACCGATGTAAAAGTGTCTGCAAACTCCTAGGAGCCTCTCCATGCAGTCCATCTCTTCAACGCCTAGCGCGTAGTAACTTCTCCCCAAAGGCTCCCCGAGACCTTTAAGAGTATCTCTCGATAGTACACGTCAGTCCGAACACATCCTTCTGAAAGGTCAGCATTTGGTGAAGGTAGACTGCCTGACGTCATGATCGGCCTGATAGACCCTGGTCAGTGTGAGAACTTCTTCGCAACAGCAAGAAGATCCACCCTCAAGGGTTATGCTGCTCGGCAATTATACACGGATTCCCGAATATTCGGGTGCTGATACTGCCGAACTTATCCACGACGTAATCAGTCGAGATATATTGTTAGTAAACTCCAAGTCGATGTGAGGCTGAAAGAACTGATCGTCTTCCAAGGCCGGCTCACCTCTCGACTATACGTACTCCCAGGCTACTCCAAGTGACCCTTTACTCTCCGGACACGGTTAGAACTACCTTGGAATTCTGGTGTATTGTATCTGATACATTTCCTAGAGAAGTAAAGATCAGCGAGTGCAGACCCAGGGAACAAAGGCAGACTGAGAGGCGATTCAAGCGCTTACCGTTGGCCAATGCACACCTAACGGTAGAACGTTGGACGATGAGCAAGAGTTTTTATCGACCTTGTCCCGGATAGAAGAACCTGCACCAGTGCCCAGTCAAAGAGATCAGTGGATACAGTAGCCCTTGATTCCACCGCCCTATCAGAAAACTAGTCGAAGCAGGCCATTTAAAGGCTGGCAACTCACGTTAACTCAACCGGTTTCTGGGACCTCCGGCCCTCATACTCTTATTCGCTGTACCTACAGTAATGTACGAGACCTGTGCTCCAAGATACCTGGGTTAAGGTTATTAGTGGATGAGGAAAGTCTTAGCATAATGGCTTTCCATGAAACATGGCTATCAGAAAACATAAAAGACGAGGAAGTTCGTTTAGAAAAGCTCAGCCTAATCCGAAAGGATAGACCGGAGGGCCCAGGAGGTGGAGTTGCTCTTTACACCTATCCTTCCTTAAAAGTCTATGAGATTCAGTCTCATGGAATTGGCATTAAAGATGTCCTCTGGTGTGGTATTAAGTGCCGCGGAGGTCCGTGTTTAGTTGGAGTCTTATACCGCCCTCCTGCAGCTGATGCCACGCCAAATAAAATGTTAATATAGTCCACTGGAGGAGCCCTGGAACTGAACCTCCCACAGGTCCTCATTATGGGAGATTTTAACTTTCCTCAACTCTTTACCACAGAAAGTCCATCTACTGCTCCAAAAGACATTCGGGAATTGTCACTGGAAAACTCCTTGACAGAACATGTTTCCCAGTGTACTCGCTGGGGCCCTGACGATAAGGCATGCGACTAAATTATATTTTCGCAAATCAGTTCATCGGGGTAAGCAAGTTGAATGTTTTCAGCCCTCTTGGCCTAAGTGACCATGCAGTTATCGCCTTCAATACTTCTGTGTCTAAGCCACCCGTTCCCAATCAGCCTCTAGTTAGGAATTACAGGAGAACTGATTTCGAGAAGGTTCGGCAAGATCTAGAAGGTTCCGCTTGCTTAAATTGCGATGATCTACTGGATCTTGATGCTAGATGGGGTCTGTTGAAGAATGTAATCCTGCAGACGATAGAAGACAACACTCCTCTGATCCCAAGAAGAACTAACAAGTTCTACTCCTCCTGGCTTAAGTCTAGCACGCGCAAACTAACACGGCATAGACGGTCGTCTTGGAATCTATGGAGGTGCACTAATAGCCCTTTTGACTGGCTAAATTATAAAGACATCCTCAACAAATGTACAGTAAGGATTGGAAATGACAGAATAAACCACCAGACACAACTTTATAGAACCCCGGAGGGGAATCATGGGATACTATACTCGTTGATGAAACAGAAGAGTAACAGTTCACCAAGTTTACAGGACCCCATTAGTTTGGAGATTCTCTATTCCAACTCCGAAGTTGCAAACCTACTAGCTCATTTGGGAGGCAAAACCCCGCCCTGTCGGACACCCGTATCACAGAGGGACTAAATCATACACAGTTTAAACCCTCTGTAATTATGGAAACATTAAAGAAACTGAATCCGGATAAGTCTCCAGGAATCGATGGTATTCACCCAAGAGCACTCAAAGAGTGTGCTGAAGTTCTGTGTGCCCCACTAGCAAACCTCTTTAAATGCTCGTTTCTGGAAGGCAGGTTACCCTCTGATTGGAAACGGTTAGCTGTCGTCCCAATTCATAAAGGTGGAAACAAACTACTCGCCCCCAACTACAGACCAATCTCCCTGACCTCTTCAGTTGCGAAGGCCATGGACAGAGTCATAAATGACTCACTTCGTTTCACTTTCAGAAATCAATCCTAAACGACTGTCAACATGGCTTTCTACCAAGAAGGTCATGTAAGACCAACTTGTTGATAGCTTGGAACAGCTGGACATTCTCTGTTGAGAAGAAAAAGTCTATACACATCGGCTTACTTGACTTTTCTAAGGCCTTTGACAGGGTAAATCATGATATCCTTTGTAAGAAACTCCAGCTCATGGGTGTGCGCGGAAAATTATTAATCTGGATTAGAGATTATCTGTACACCAAGATGCAGTCAGTTAGAGTTGCTCCTCTCTATCTGATTGGTTCCCGATGCTGAGTGGTGTGCCTCAAGGTTCCATACTGGGCCCACTACTGTTTCTTGCTTTTATCAATGACCTACCGGGGGTCCTTAATTCACATTCACTGTTATATGCCGATGATCTGAAGATCTGGAGGGAAATGCAGGAACCAACAGATATTTTGATCTTCCAGGAGGACCTTACAAAAATCCTTAATTGGACCACAGAAAACCTGCTTCCTCTCAACTCGAAGAAGTGTCGAATTATGACAGTTGACAAACAGAAAGACAGTCCCAGTTCTTACTCTCTAGGTGAAATAAATGTCTGTCACTCTAACATGGAACAAGATCTGGGAGTTACACTAAATGACACAGCAGGAGCCTCTGTTCACTGTCGCCTTGCAGCCAATAGGGCTTATGGAATCCTGGGGTTTCTGTCGCGAACCTAAGGGTGTCCAACTCCTTCTATTTTCACCACAGTATATGCTCTGTACATTCATCCTCATTTAGAAAAAAATTCGCTTGTAATGTCCCCATACTTGAAAAAGAACATTGCCATCCTAGAACGGGCACAGAGAAGAGCTACAAAGAAAGTGATTGGGTTACGGCACAAGCCGTACCCAGGCCGCTTAGTAGCTCTTCAGCTGCACCCAGTACAACACCGGAGTATCACAGGGGATATGATCATAATGTACCACATCGCCCATAATCCCCTCCATCCCAACAGATCCCTTCTAAGCTTTAGTCGGAAACGCGACTTGAGGGGTCACCCGTTAAGAATAGAGCATGAGAGAGCACGTACAGGGATCCGTGCTAACTCATTTGTGGTTACAGTCTGTAAACTGTGGAATTCCTTCCCTTCAGCAGTTGTTACAGCCCCATCCCCTGATACCTTTAAAAGGAGGCTAGACGCACACCTCGAGTTCTACGGTACCGATAGGCTATACTCCAGAAGCTTTCCCAGATCAGATGCAGTAATACTAACTTGAGACCAGATTAATTAATGAGTCTTATCTCCATCCTTTCAGGTTTTTCAGAACTGGGAAGATAATTGTGACCATTCCAAACTCAGAACGTATTCCAATAAAACGAACGTAAAACCCAAGGAACCGCAGTTCGCTAATTCTACAACACGAAGTTTGAAGTATTAAAGTCTTCCACAATAATCTTTGTAAAATTTGGTGTCGGTATATGGTAAAATGCTTCTTTTGTTCTGTTTAGATGTTTACTCTTGTTGTCCTTGGGGTAATGAATTCCGCCTAGTGGAAGGCCTGATGACTCCATTCCAGTGTCATTTGTGTTGGGTGTCCTGTCTGCCTAGTAGGTGGCTTGTGATATGACTTCAGGTATATGATACATGCCCTACCACTACCAGAAGATCGATTTCTCTTGAAAGTGAATGTCTCCCCACGGAAATAAGTTATAATTCAATTCGGATGTTTACCAAGCCTCAGTGATTAGTATGTAGTAGGCTGGCTCGTCAGTATCAAAGATTTTATGTACGTTATTTTGTTCACCGCGAACCGGACAGTAATGAGAAACATATCAAGAATAGTTGTGTCATATTCCGGAATGCTGACTCAGAGTAAAAAGCTGAGAATTGTATGCAATAGCTCAAAAACCAACAGTCTCTCATACCTCTTTAGTTGGGCTTGGATATTGTATGTTAACCTTGAAGCAAGAACTATGCGTTTTTCCTATTCTTTTAGTGAACCGCGAAATTTGATGTTGCAATCACATCATGATGAATGTCCTAGTTTCTCCTATTCTCGTACGCCATACATCTGCATATTGCGCTCACTGGCGTCTTTATTCTCAAGCTGTCGATAAGACGCTTTTGTATAAGTTGCGCAAAGCTACTGGTTATACTTTTTCGGCCTGCAAAGAAGCTCTCATCAAACATGAGAATGACCTCGACAAGGCTAAGGAATGGCTTGCAGCAGAAGCTGTCAAAAGAGGTTGGGATAAAGCTGGTAAACTGTCTGGACGGTCGATGAATGAGGGTCTTTTGGGACTACTTGGCACCCGAAACCGTGCCGTTATTGTTGAAGTCAATTGTGAAACCGATTTCGTTGCGCGAAACAATTCTTTCCAGTCGTTAGTTGCCACAGCCGCAGAGACTGTGATGCATCATTATACTGTAAGTCTACGATTCCTTATTTGACTACATTTTGTTATCATAACCTACTTGTCTTATGTGATCATGCCCGCACTGATCCCGATGCTATGATTTTCAAATTAAGTAAAACAAAACTAGCCTGTTATGATATCAAACTTTTAGTATTAGTGTAGTAATACACCCTGTAGTTCATTACATCATTCATATGATGTTAGCTTCCAGTCAATCAATATCCGTAGCTCAGTCTACAGATATTAGCTTAATAAACAAGGTTCACACTCTTTGTTATTATATCTCAGCATCTAAGTAATACAGCGGTTATCACTAAGTTAAGTTGTAACCTTTATAATTGTTTCCTGTCAGAAGATAAGGCTCTTAAGCTGGTCTCATAATTAAAAAGTATAGGGGTTCTCCAGCAAAGAAATATGTTTCCACCGACTTCAGTGAACTGAACTATTATAAGTTAGGCTTGCCAGGAATCAGTAAGAATACTTGTGACATGGGATTAAGAGAAAGGGTGATTTTTGAGGAGAAAAGATTGCATGGAGTGTCATTCAAAATAAGATTCCATTTCAAAAAGTAAATCTTTCGTCATTTACTGACTAAAGTGCAAAACAGTGATAAAGGTTTTGGCTATCATAGTGATAAAATCACAGTAAGTAAAATTAAGCGAAATTAACCTGGAAGATTACTCATATCAAAATAGAACCTGAGTAATATAATGATGTTTACTTTAGAGGTGTGTAAATATTTACTGACTTCACGATAGTATTAGACATGGAGTGACATAGGTCTTTAATTTATTTGTTGATTATTTCGCCGCGAAATAGTATTACCAAGTGACACACTAACGCAGTGTTTGAGTTTGTGTTCATGCATGGAGTTATCGTTTCACCTAGATAAAAGAACTAAACAGGAGTGTTCGACACTACGATTTCATTTGGTCCCCTTACAACGTTCAGTGTAATTAGCTCCTCAAGACCTTGTAAAACAATAAATATACAGGGCAGAACCTAAGCAGTATATCCCGTGTCTTAATTCTCCTATGCTTCAGCTTTGGTATCCCGGTGCTGTTGTAAGCTCTAAAACAATTAACAACTCAGTCTAATGGAAATGTGTGCCAGTTTGAGTTGGACTATATATTAGTTGGTATGAAGTGTAGCTTTAAATTTTCCCAGACCAGCCTATCCTAGTCTGCCTCGTCACACAATGTTGGCCAAAGTAGTTTCAGGCTAAAAAAGACTCGGGGCGACCAGGCTAAAATATGGCATCAATGCATGAAGTCCTTGAGAGTTCGTTCAAGCCATATAAGATGTTACACACTAGCCGATTGGAGTCCACGAGATAAGAGAAACCAGTGGTTGGAGACTGACTTAAGGCGATTTGACTCAGAACCGATGTAAGTGGTTTAGATGCATAACACAAACTATCCTCACTTTAACTATTATCCTTAATCTCATCATCTTCCCATTCTTCCTTCCTCTCTCTTACTACTTCTACTTCATTTGACCGATTTTTCTTCCTTTCTTCATCTTCTATTTAATTGTTTTGTTACTTGATGTGCTGATATGAGATGAGGTGAAGCGATTTGGACCGTTATGAAGTAATGCTTGGTCTTATGTTGATCTTGATCATGATGATGATTTAAGAGATAGTTCATATTGTATGACCGTTACTTTCCGTTTGTCATATTAACAACCAATCTATCCATGCAGGTTTCCTCCGCCTGAGTTTTTAGATTTGTTCCTAGGCATTTCACCAGAATGCTGAGTGCATCGTTAATTTCACCTTCAAACTAAGCTGAAAAGTACTTTGTCCTCCTGAATAGTGATTCATTCCACCTCTTATTTTTCGATTTTAATGCATACGCATAACAAAGGACGGACATCAATTTAGATATCCAAACCAACTTGAGATTTGATGTTTGAAAAAATTTGCTCATTGGGTAAAGGATACGTCTTCATAATTTCGGTATTAGTAATTTCCAATGAATGTAAAACAATAAATTTGTTTCAACTGACGTTTAACTGTTCGTTGCTAATTGCTCTATCAAAGTTATGTTGAACCGGAATTTACAATACTCCATAAGCCTATATATGATAACTAGACAAGTGTTATTCTACATGAACGATTGATTCTGCGTTGTCACAATCGTAGAATAAAGATGATATCTATATGTGGTGTTGTTGTGCGTGAATTACAGATTGAGATTTGTGTATGTACACATGTGGTGATAGTTCTTGTCGCTGTGATGTATGTTGGTTATGTGAGTGTGTGGGGGTGGGTTGTGAGACCAGGTCAAACTGCGTTTTACTCTCTCAATCCTGTTTAGAAAATTCTGATTCCACTTAATGTGAAGAGATTCTGCTATGAGACTTTCCTTATAATCTCCAAAGCCTTTCTGAATAATTTCAATATTATGGCGTGATATTATAGCATGTAGAGCTATGGCTGGTGTTTTCTAGTTTTTTCACTTCCAGTAGATTTCTGGGCGGAGGGTCGGATGGAAGCTCTTTGATGTTTATTTTTCCTAATCTTGATTTCATGGGAAGTTTGTCCTATGCACACTGCATCGCAGTCTGAGCATTTTATTTTATAAACACAATTAGATTATGAATCTAGAGGGATCTCGTCCTTCAAGTGAACTAAGATGCTCTACAATGTTTTCGATGTTCTGTAGAAGACTCTGATATTGCATTTGTTGAGCACTCTCCTAATTTCATCCGATATGTGTGTGATTTGTAAAGGATAACTGTCGTTGAGGCCCACGATTTAGAAGTAGTTCTACGACCTAATTTAATGTTATTTTCTATTTTGTAAGTGAATTTCATCGGATAACTATTCATTTCAATTACTTTGTTCACATATTTAAATTCCTTAACTCTTTCATTATCATTCGTCACTAGAGTGTCTACTCTCCTTAAAAGACTGGAGGCAACAGAAACTTTCACACTAACTGGATGTGATGAGTTGAAATCTAACTATTTGTTCGAATGCGTTGATTTTCTGAAAACGGTTATACCTAAATATCTATTTTCTTTCCGATTAACAAGACAATCAAGGAAAGGCAGTTCACCCCTTGATCGTTTCTTCTCAGCTGAACTTCATACTAGGAGGTCTAGAGTTCATCTGATCTTGGAATGCCTAGCGTAAATCGCGTTTTAAAATTATGAACGTATCATCAACATATCTCAGCCAAAATTTTCTGTTTGGAAGATTTTGATTCTACTTGATGTAAAGGGATTCTACTATGAGACGTTCTTTATAATTTCTAAAGCCTTTCTGATGAAATAAACAAGTGAATAAATACCAAAATTATGAATATCATTTACCCAACGCCCAACTTTTTCAAATCATCAAATCTCAACTTCGTTTCGATATCTATAAACTGATTAAAAACCGGAGTATTCCATCAAAGCACAAATGTCACTTCTATAGTCATCACATCTCCAATCTACGTTGTCTACATGCTGGAATTATTCCCAAATCCCTACGTATTAAACCTCTTGAGCATTCCCACAAATGTATTCTTACAGCATAGCATACCTCCCACATATTCCTACATGGAAGAATACATAATAGCACCGTGAGGCCCGAATTTAATCGTGCACGGGTTCGTACTATTGATGAGTAATTGTCAAAGCTAATTAGATCTGATACACTTGAATCTATTCATAAACTGTTCAAAGAACAGGGTCACATTTTCACAGTGTGGTCAAAAGAAGGCAAATCCTGAAATTTTCCAGATTTACAGAGCTAAAACATACAGAACAAACACTAAAACATGATGCGAGAACTATTAACTCAGTACACAACATGTCAGATAAGATTCTAAGTGAAAATAAGATTTCATTATTACAGAAAGGTCTCAATTTCAATATCAACCGAAAGCCATTATTGACTCGTGAAATAGCACCAATCATCGAACCGGCTTTGGAATCCCTACCTAAAGACGAGGCGCAGATTGTATGTCAGAAAATTTAATAAATCCACGCAACGCAAAGAAATACACCTTGTAACATCACTAAATAGGAATTTTATGCTCCAAAAAAATTGAGGAAAGACAGGAATATTATAATAACAAAGACAAAGGGAGTATAACAGTCATTATGAACAGGACAAATTATTAGAAGGAAGCAAGTGAACATTCATCCGAAGGACCATACACTTTAGTGGATGTAAAGAAAAGATCAGCCGAACTGAACAAGATGAAACTGAACACGAATAGACTATTTCAAGAACTTGAACCCAAAATCAGCAGCTTAATTTGGTTCAAACTCAAACATAAGTCATACATACTTTCAAGATTCATAAACCTTTCACTGAGACCAATTGTGGACTTCACCAACATACAACCTCTCCATATATCTGGCTTCAATGCTTAAATCCCTACAAAAGTACTCAGAATACACAATAAGGGACTTCCTTGACATTATATCCAAATTTCTCCACTTAAAATTGAGGAAGATGAAATTATGGTAAGCTATGACATCAGTCCTTTATATACTAGTATTCCAATTAATGATAGCCTAGATATTATTTCTAATTTATTAGACTCAGACTTCATTGTCAGAAAGATGTCTACTGAATACCAATGACAACATCAAGACCCTAAAATTCTACCTAGAGACTAATTACTTAATATATAAAGGAAACCTATACAGACAAAATGACGGTGTTGCTATGGTTTCACGTGTTTCACCCATTGTAGCTAACATATATATCAGTAAGTTCAAAGAAAGTGTCTTTACTCTCTTAGTAAAGCCGAAAATTTGGCAGAGATATATTGATGACACATCCGTAATTTAAAAACGCGATTTATACTAGGCGTTCCTAGATCAGCTGAACTCTAGACCTCCCAGTATGAAGTTCAGCTGAGAAAAAACGAAAAAGGGGGGAACTGCCCTTCCTACATGCTATAATTTTAGATCACAAGGTCGATTTTGACAACATTGAAATTATTCAGAAAGGCTTTAGAAATTATAAGGAAAGTCTCATAGCAGAATCTCTTCACATTAAGTGGAATCAGAATTTTCTAAACAGGAATGAGAGAGTAAAACGCAGTTTGACCTGGTCTCACAACCCACCCCCACACACTCACATAACCAACATACATCACAGCGACAAGAACTATCACCACATGTGTACATACACAAATCTCAATCTGTAATTCACGCACAACAACACCACATATAGATATCATCTTTATTCTACGATTGTGACAACGCAGAATCAATCGTTCATGTAGAATAACACTTGTCTAGTTATCATATATAGGCTTATGGAGTATTGTAAATTCCGGTTCAACATAACTTTGATAGAGCAATTAGCACGAACAGTTAAACGTCAGTTGAAACAAATTTATTGTTTTACATTCATTGGAAATTACTAATACCGAAATTATGAAGACGTATCCTTTACTCCTTATGTGGTCTTTTTCATTGATCCACTTACTCTTATAATTTTTCTCATGACGCGGTTTTTCTTCTATTCTTGTGCACCTCATGAGTTTTCTTGAAGTTTGGTAACTTAAATTGATGCACTGTCATGTAGTGTTTGTTTTTTATCTGTACTAAGACCTTAAGAGTACTGACTTAGTAAGCTACTGGTTCTTCAGTGTCTGGTTTACTGAGTTGCACTATTCCTTCTTTGCACTTATTATCTGAAGTTAGTAGTGGTCTATATTACTAGTGGTTTATCTAGTTCCATCACTTGAAAAGTTACAAGACCATGCATGACTTATGATACAATTATTAGATCAAATGAAATATCATGTCAAAGCTTGTCAAATCAACTTCAAAAGCAGTTATCGCAAACCTAACTATTAGCAATTTTTTTAGTACAAATTTATTTATGCGCTTTGATATATGCTCATCACTTTATGGGACATTATAATTGCTTCCGTTCTTCATAATGATTTAGTGGTCTGGTTTTAATTCTAGGAGCCTACCCGGATCTCTTTGGCTTCTGACCGCCTCAATATGTTGGTTACCTCTAACAACTCCACTCTTCAAGACATAGTGGCTGCTGCCATAGGATCTATTGGCGAAAGTATTAGGCTAAGAAGAGCTGTAGGAATTTGTGTTCCTGATAATTCAAAATCAAGTCGTTTGGCCATTTATTCTCATGTGAGCACAGAAGGTATAGTGCAAGGAATAAGGGAAGTTCGTTTTGGAAAATACGCCGCTGTTATTCGGTACAGACCATTGAATAACAAGGTATGTTTCGTGACTAGTAATTTATTTTCATTTGACAGTTATTTATTAATGATGCTACTTACTTCACAAGCATGTGGACGATAACCACTAAGGAGGTTGCTACTAGCTAGAGGTAGGTCTTCCTCTACACAAAGTCACAGTAAACAATCTTCATATGTCATCAGGATAAATTTTTTCCTAACCTTCTAAATACTTAATTATACGTCAAAGTCCTCAGTTGGTACCAGTATGTCCTTCAAGTACATAATTTAAACCACTTATTTGATGATGGATTTCATCCGTATTTTGTATCTGGTTTCAATCCGAATAAAATTATATGAAGGTAACAAAGACGTAGTTTCTCTCGCTGATTATTTTTTTTTACCTCGAATGAGCCATGTAATCGGATAGCACATAACTGTGAACGTTGAAGAAGGTAAGCTGAAATGGTACATGTGTTTTTGGAATATCTGAGTTGAATACTGCATTGGAGGAAAACTTTGTAGATGTAACTACTTGCTGACTTAAGACACTACAAACAGATCAATAGCTTAAACGCTGACAAATAGCTGAGTTAAATAATGATGAAGGTAAACTTGGGCAAAAAAATATTTTGTTCCTATGTAAATTTAACAGTGTATAACGCCAATTAAGTGACCAATTGAATGCTGTATGCTCAACTAGTAACGAAAAGTTAAGTAAATACGGAAAAATAACTTTGTTATAGAGTGTCGTATTATAACACTATAAACTCAGACCGACGTAGATGGTTGTCTAACGAAACTACCCATGAATATTTTGACCCAGATTTAAATCTAAAAGGTGTCGGAGTAGCGTCAATTTTTGCGTCCCCATGGGTCCTGGTAACTTGAAATAGGTTCGTTCCTTTCGGGTGGGGGGGGGGGGTTGCATTGGAGTTGGTGTTATCATTGGTTTTAAATCAAGTTTTTCCAGCTCCTGTTAAGGGAACCGTTAGTACCCACTGGTTTGGTGATTTAACCCCACACTCACTCCTACCCTTTAACTCTTGTGGAAGCAACCACTTTATTTGTGAATAGGACTCCTATAATTTTACGAGAAGTTTTCGAAAAGAAAGCACTTTATTGACCTTCTACAATCATCATCATCATATCAGGATATTTGTAGGCGCTAACCTTCATCGAAAAGTCACTAACCATTTGTACTAGTTTTCACGATATCTCTGTAAACCATGTTAGTCTGGGTATCTTTGTGATACCTAAACATATCAAGATTGCTGCTCTTTAAAACTACACTTGATATTTCCATTTTCAAATTAGATGTGTGGAGATATACGTCACTTAAACTTCAAAATCATTTCTGTTCAGTTCAATGGTTGGCTAGTGTTAACACATACTCCGTGAAGAATTTTCATTCTGTTGATTTTTTTCTTTGAGTTCATCACCTAATGCATAAATTGGTACATGATACACATAAGTGTTCGTTTTTACACTTATTATTACTATTACCATTACTATTACTATTATTATTATTTATTATTTATCTCTTGAGTTCGTAATGGGACATAGGGTTTCAGTAGCACGTCTCCAGTGCACTCTGTTCTCTGTAAACTTTTGAACCTGGCTCCATGATAACCCACAAGCTCTCATTTCCTCCTCGCACGATCTCCATGTCACCCTCGGACGCCCAACTCGTCGCTTCCCATCTGGGTTCCACTCGGGCAACTGGCCTGACGCGTGATGTCCCCAGTTGGCTTTCTCAGTGTATGCCCAATCCATCTCCACTTCCTTCTGCATAGTTGTTGGGAGATAGGTTTTTGTTTGTTTCTTTCCCAGAGTTCCTTGTCGCTTATTCTTTCTGGCAATCCACCTGAGCTTCAGTAACGAGCCAGAGTAGGCAGCTATTGATGAATGTCTGTAGTTTGTTGGAAATCCCTTTCGTAACACGCCAAGTCTCTTAACCATCACATGGAAGCACTGACCTGACATTGGTGTTGAAAATCCGGATGTTGTTCACGCTTTATGCTGAGTGCAGAAGACCTCCACACTGGTTTCAGGTTAATGAATGCCTGTCTTGCTTTTCCCATCCTGGTTGGCGTTGAGGTCCTCGTCTGTGCCGCCTGTAGTTGAAACAGTGCTGCCTAGATAGGTGAAGGAGGCTACTTCCTTTAAGCTTCTCCCGTTCATGGTGATTGGAGTTTGTTGGTGGTGGTGGTGGCGTTGGTTGGGTATCCTCATCACCTCCACCTCTGTCTTCTCTACATTCACTTGAAGTCCCGTCTTCGCTGCCCTGTCTCACCTCTTCTGTCAACTTGTTAGTTTTCGTTTGTAGATCTTCAAGTTTGTGTGATATTAGACGCAAGTCATAGGTGGCGAAATCCAAATCTTCTAGGATCTTTTCCCCGGTCCACCCAGTGTATCCCCCTCTTCTCGCTCCTCACTGTTGTCTGCTACATGATCCAGTCCCGTCCACTACAATCAGGAATATAATGGGTGATAGTAGACTGCAGTCTTGTCTTACTCCTGTCTTCACTTCACTTCAGAGGCATTACTGAACTTCCCATTGTGAATTACTTGGCATATAGCATCTTCATAAAGTTGTTGAATGAGAATGATAAGGGTTTGTGGTGTTCCGTAATGTTGAAGCAACTGCCTGTCAAATTACTTCTCGGTCGACGCTGTCGCAGGCCTTCTCAAAGTCGATGAAGTTGAGGTGGAGGGTTGACTGCCATTGTATGCTCTGTTCTATGATGATGCGAAGCGTTGCAATTTGGCCCACACACGATTTGTACTTCTTGAATCCAGCGTGTTCCGGTGGTAGTTTTGAATCCAGTGCATCCTTAAGCCTCTCCAGGATGATGCAGCTTAATATTTTGCTTGGGGTGGACAGGAGCATGATTCCGCCCCAGTTCTTCCAAACACGTAGGTCTCCCTTCTTTGGAGTTTGATGTGGTACCCCTTCTTCCAATCAATTGGCAGGTACCTTCCCTTCCTTCCAGACTTTCTACAATAGTGGTGTTAGCATGTCCGCAGTTGTCCTGCGTCTGTCTTCAGTGCTATTGGTGGGATTCCATATGGTCCTACTGCTTTCCCGCATTTCTGTAGCTTTATGGCGTTCAGGACTTCGACTTTCGTCGGAGGGCCTATGTTCACTGGTAATTCTGTGGCTGGCTGCAGGTGGTATTTCTGAACGAAGTGCAGGTGATGGTGGTCGATTTAAGAGCTTCTTGAAGTGGTCAGCCCATCATTTCTTTTGTTTCTCCTCTTTGGCAATTAGATTTCCTTCATCATCTTTTATTGGTTTCATATGCGTTGATCTCTTCCCTTCCAGATAGGAACCTGGTTATTTGATACAATGTTGTCAGGTCTCTCCTACCTGCAACCTGTCCTGCTTCACTTGCCAGTGTATCGTGGAAGTGTCTTTTGTCTATGCGCGCACTCTTCACTTTGTCCAGTGTTTTATACATTGTACTCAGTTACTCTTTTCGTTGTTCATTCCTACCAGCACTGGTTTATCTTCTGCTTCACCAGCTTCCTCTCTTCTATCAGCTTCCATGTATCCGTCGAGGTCCATTCCTTATCTTACTTCTTCTTCCTTCCTTACACGGTTATGCAGGTTTCTTTCCACATAGCTTTCAAAGAGTCCCAGTGTTCTTCCACACAGGTTTATTTAGGGATATTGTTCAATGTCTCCCATTTTGTCTTGATAGCTGCCGTGAAGATTTTCTTTGTAGTTTCATACTTCAGTTTCTGAGTATCGAACTTGAACTGTGGTCTACCACCAACTTCTTTGAATTGAGGGCTTTCAACTTGATTTAGAAGGTTCCTTGCACTAGATAGTGGTCTGAGCCTACATCTGCTCCTCTTCTTGACATTGTGTCAAGTAGGCTGCATCTCCATTTTCTTCACATTGAGATAAAGTCGATCTGATTTTTAGTGTCCTGTCCTGGTGTCTGGTGAAATCTATGTCGCTGACTTGTGGACATTCTTGTGCTTGAACACACTGCCTGGCCTCCAATCACCAAATCGTTGAATGCACAGAATTCTGCAAAGGATTCTCCATTCTCGTCCATCACCTCACCGAGCGCTTCTCGACCCATGGTTAGTTCGCTTCCTGTGTTGTCCGCTCCCAGTTTGGCATTCATGTCGCCCATTAGAATGAGTTTTAATATCGCCAACTGACGTCTTGTCCAGTGTTGATTGAAGTTGTCTGTAGAATTCCTCCTTTTTCTCTGGCTCTGCATTATTTGTAGGTGGGTGGCGTAGCACTGTATGATTGTGACTTTCCTTCCTTTCGAGTTGAACCTTGCTGTTATGATCCTGATGCTGGAGGAGATTGGTTCCAACTGCATGAGAGGCTTCGATGCTGTTGGAGACATCATGATAACCACTCCAAATCTCAGTGTGCACATGGTTGTCATCTGGGTGACCGGAGTAGATTATTGATTCTCCAGTTGACAGTTTGGAGAGTCCACTTCCATTCCATCTGCTTTCGCAAATCCCAAGCACTCAATGTGATACCTTCTCATCTCGTTTGCAATCTGGGCAGCCTTGCTAGGTTCAAACATGGTGCGGACATTCCATGTCCCCACGTTTACTTTTGCTTTCATCAAGAGAGGACACATCGGCCAATTGGCCTCCCGAAGGCTTTTACCGACCGGCGTCATTTCGCCTCTCCGATTCCAGTGAGGAATAATTTTGTTTTTATTTTCTATATTTTGTTTGTGCTTTGAAGTTTCTTTAGCGGTTGGATTAGTTTTAGGGGGTAGGGTTGCTAGCTCTACGCCCAACCTTCCTTCTTTACCCGGGCTTAGGACCGGCTAGTAACTAGTGAACTAGTTAACCAGCCGAAGTTCGTTTTTACCCTCAGATATTGATTTCTGTCCTGTCAGCAGAGTCATTTTATTACCATTTGTTTATGGTGGCAAGAAAGCAGTCTATTATAATTTAGCACACCATAGTTTCCCTCCTTGTCATTATACCACTTCCAGGAGATTATATCTGATTTTATTGTCTACGTATGTTGTTTACTATACAAGCTCTATGTTTAGGAAAGCTCGATCTCATCATTTTAGGAAGGGTTATTATGCGATTTCAGACAACGAAAACGAATAAAAGTCCTGCTTTTTTTATTTGTGTGTTTAAATTCTTGCAACGCAACCTAATTGCACTGACCTCTTCATAGTGATTGAAACACTTGAACTATATTATGTTTTTAAGTGACAATTTTCGTACGTTACACTGCTAATCCCTAATTCTATTGAGATTTTTCGCACAAATTCGCTTGTTAAACAAAAAACTAGTATATTACATTCAACGTGCTATCTAACATTTGACTAACAATGTAGAATGATGTCAACATCATCATCATGAAGATCAACATAAGACCAAGCATTACTTCATAACGGTCCAAATCGCTTCACCTCATCTCATATCAGCACATCAAGTAACAAAACAATTAAATAGAAGATGAAGAAGGGAAGAAAAATCGGTCAAATGAAGTAGAAGTAGTAAGAGAGAGGAAGGAAGAATGGGAAGATGATGAGATTAAGGATAGTAGTTAAAGTGAGGATAGTGTGTGTTATGCATCTACACCACTTACATCGGTTCTGAGTCAAATCGCCTTAAGTCAGTCTCCAACCACTGGTTTCTCTTATCTCGTGGACTCCAACCGGCTAGTGTGTATCATCTTATATGGCTTAAACGAACTCTCAAGGACTTCATGCATTGATGCCATGTTTTAGCCTGGTCGCCCCGAGTCTTTTTTAGCCTGAAACTACTTTGGCCAACATTGTGTGACAAGGCAGACAGTGATTAGGCATGCGTAACACGTCACAGTCAGCCACCTCAGTCGATGAAGGTTTACAACTGTTTCGACTGTCTTACGTCTCCTGCCTAAGACTCTAGGTTTGAATTCTGCGTTACTAACGTGGTAACATCACTCCTTTTCTCACCCCCTGTTAGTAATTTAATACGGAAGCTCTAGGAATTACGTAGGAATTTACATCTCCAAGTGTACTTTTCTGTATATTACATTTATAGGTTACTTAGTCTGTCATGCTGCTAAAGTTAACTATTAGTTAAATTATGAATATCCCATTGTCATCTATTTCACCCCCAAAATGTTTCACTGTTGTTTGAGTGTATCCTCCGTTAGCCATTTTTCTCTATATGTATCTTTTAGGTTTGCGCATTCTCCTAAGGAGTTTGTTCCGCAGTTGAGGTGTATTTTCAGTACCGGGGATAAATTATTTCTTTTCATTACATACTTGATGACTAGCTTGCTGTATATTAGCACTTAGCTCTTTTTTTAAACTGCATCCTTTTCATCCCATTACAGCCCGCCAATGATGCTTGGCATGAACGAGCTGCTCGTTTGGGTAGACAAGTATGCCAACATATTGTTGGTATGAATCCAAATCCCGACTTGGAACATGTTGAACACCCAACTCCAGATTCAGGAGAAGAGAAATGTCTTCTTTTACAACCTTTCTTATTGGATGAAACTATTAGTGTAGGAGAACATTTGTTAAGGAATGAAATGGTGCTTGAAGATTTTGTTCGTGTTGAATGTGGAGAAAATGATCGAGATATTTCATCAAGTGAAAGTCAGGCAACAACTGTACAACCATCTTAGACATGTATATGTATACTGAATGGTATGGTAATCTTCACATAAATTGACTATCACGATTCACTTACTTATTTTGTTATTGTACAGAATTGGCCAATATTGACATTAATGTATATTCTTTGAATATCTTTGAGGCATTTGGTGATATAGTCTCAGGCGTTTGCTCATGTACACACACTAACATTGTCCTCGTCATATACGTTTTTAGTTTTCTTTCCCCTCACTATTAAACGTATTTAGTTTAACCTTCAAACCGAGCTATATTGTTCTTCTAAAGTTTTTTTTGTATGTGTGTGTTCATATTGTTCACTTCTTGTCATACTTGTGTGTTACTCTTTTGTTTTTTTTTCCGTGAATATTTTACGTTCACTGTACGTAGGATATGGGTTAAATATATAAAAAAGGCTGCACTACTTTTTTAAAGAAGATTTTTATGCGTGTGTGTTAGTGTGGTCTTTAGCCTTTATGTGACATTAACTTCAAAAAATGGACTATACTCTTTTCACACCATAACTAATTGTCAATGTGGATTCTCTTCGAAATTTTTGTTCGAATAACGTTCTAGAGTTTTGATTTTAAAGTAATAAGGTTTCTGAAAATTCCTCTACTTTGTAAGTAAATGGGATCAGCTTTAATGCATGTATTATTACTATTATTGTTTGTCCCTTGAGCTCCTAGTGGGACATAGGACTTCGGTAGCACGTCGCCATTTCACTCTCTTCTCTGCAGTCTGTTGAACCTGGTTCCACCACTGCCCAGAATCTTCCATTTCTTCTTCACGTGATCTCTTCCATGTCACCCTCACATCGGATGCCCAACTCGTCGTTTCCCATTTGACTTCCACTCGAGGGCCTGAACTGGCGCGTGATGTCCCCAATCGGCCTTCTCAGTGTATGCCCAATCCACCTCCACTTTCTTCTGCATATTTTTTAAGCGATAGGTTGTTGGTTGGTTCGTTGTCAGGCCAAAGTTTCTTGTTGCTTATTCTTTCTGGCCATCTGATCTTCAGTATCGAGTAAGCGTAGGCGGTAACTGTTGATGTGTGTGCAGTTTGTTGGAAATGCTTTTCGTAACGCGCCAAGTTTCTGAGCCATATAGCAGCACTAACTTGACTGAATTGGTGTTTAAAATCCGGATCTTGTTCACACTTTACTCTGAGTGCGGTGCAGTAGATCTCCACACTGATTCAGGTTAGTGAAGGGCTGTCTTGCTGTCTTTCCGATCCTGGTTTTGACGTCGTGTGTGCCACCGCCTGTAGTTGAAACGATGCACTCTTACTTACCTAGGTAGGTAGGTGAAAGAGACTACTTCCTTTAGGTTTCTCGCGTTGATGGCGATTCAACCAACCTAACTATATAAGGGTTTTATTGTAACTAAAGATAGGGAGTGGTATTTAACTGTTGGTGTCACTCAGTTGTATATTTTTCTCTCTCTTTAAACTATTTCATGACTGTCAATCCAACACAGTACAGTACTTACAAATCCCAGCTGACAGTGGCACTGGTTGAGCTTTCCTATCTCAGTAAGATGTGTTGGCTGGGATGATTTTTTTTTATCTTCTCTTATTGGAAAGGTTAATTAGGAAACGTCAATCCTGAAAAAGATCAAACTCCTCGCTTCCCTGGTGCCAGGGGCGTGGGATTTTGATAATCCGGAGTCAACACAACTAAGTGTTAACTTCAAATTTACAAAAAGACCGTGTTGATTAGGCTATGTTCATGCGAAGCTAACAAATTCTCCCTTTTAGATACTTGCTAATCCCATATTGGAGCTTTCAACTTCCGAACCCTATGCCAACAGGCATGTCCTGCCCAAATTCTGGAATCCCAAGCCATGGATACATGCTGTATTTGTAAGACGTGGTTATTAACCTGACCTCACCTCTACTGTGCGGTGAATCTCGAAAATTCACTTTACGAGTACCAGGAGACTCAATGGCTAGTTGTTACTGACTCACCGGTGTAGGCAAAGCATAAAGCGCACTTATCGATTGGATACCAGTCAAAATCTGTTTGTCTGCTCATGTGACCTTCACTTGCCTAACATTCAACCCGACCCTGACTGGAATGCAGTGTTGGCCCTGTAACTCATACTGAAGTTGAGGAGAATGTTTCAAATCTTCAACAACTTGAAATAGTAAGACCTGGTGGTTAAGTGTTCTTAAGGGTGAATATACAATTTTTAAAATTGACCATACTGTAGATACTAATACAAATCTGATTTAAGTGGCTTACAAAAACGTGCCTATCTTTACTTCAGTGGAAGTTGTAAGTCATTCACAGTCAAGCTAGATTCTCACCAAAGTAGACGCAGATTACAGAGTATGCTAAAGTTGTCATTAGCGTCAACCATGAAGTTAACATGGCATCATTTCTGCCTCACAGTTCATTGAAATATATCTGCAGTAATTGTGATCTCGACTGCAGCCGAGGCGGAAAAAACTTTTTTCATAGAAAGTCTAAAGGATACGGTTAAATTACCACGTCTGGTTTAATAATATAATATTGGAGCTTAATCTGACCACAAAGCCTACGATGCAATACAAACTCAGATTAACATCTGGAAATTATTAATCTCTTTTCCATACGAAATATCTTTATTATTAGTAATTGGTGATATAGAAGAATGATAACTTTCTCTAGTAAATTAGAATCGCCAATCACGAGTGCTAATGCATCAGACTGGGATTACGCAAACAAACAGTTTATCAATATACAGGCTACAGTTGTTGATATTACAAGGTGGTTCCTCAACTATTTAGGAAAGTAATTGAAGTTAACACTAAGAGAGTCAACAACCGATACGTCTTCAGTCAGACTATGTTTGTTTAGTGTGGATTCTAGGTACTTACAGTTAGTCAAGTGTTCAGATATTTTGTTTCCGAACTTTTCCATTCCAGTTGTCCACGTATAGCATCTGAGAAATTGGTGCCTCAAATTAAACTCTCACCATCGTGTACTGCGATGTCTGGAAATATATAATATATTGCTAGCAGATCTAACAGACAATGTTGACGTAGTCGTACCAGTGAGACAAGCGACTACTCACTACAACCGAACTACAGTATCCAGCTGCAGAGCATTCAATGGCTAAATTTCAGATCAAGGAAGAACATTTTGCCTTGTTAAGTGATCATAAAATACACTTGCGTCTAGGTAACTCGTCATATATGACGATTATTTCAGAATACTTGTTGTTGAAATTCACTATCCTACCCTTTTATAAAACTATTCGGAGTACTATCACATCGTCTTTAGGTGGATTGCACAAATTAATTACTATCGTCTTCTAGAATATCTTTCAGTGTGTTGCACCACTAATGCAAACTTCACTCTAGTAGGTTCAGACTGGCTTTTAAGTTTGAGTTCATCAGATGCCTTCTATATTCTAAATTCTACTGCTATTCATCAATAAACAGTTAACATCACAATGAAACTCGAGGCATTTGTCCAAGAAGTAGATAATCTATCAGAGATTTATCTATTCCCCTCAATAAAAGGAACGGGAAGTAAGACATTCAACACTTGAAGCTGACTGTCATCAATTTTCAACAACTCATATTTGGAATACTTGTAAACGGCAAGCAGTTTTGGATCAAGATGAACATTTACAAGGGCATGCGTCTTTCCGCATATTACTAACTCGTTTGGAACCATGACTGATTTTTCCGAGAACTTGCTTTTAAAGCAGCTGACCAGAGGCTTAAGCTGCGCCTCATCTACCGATGTATAGGTGACGAGGTAATACCATCAACCTTAAAACAATAGATTCGACTTATTGATTGGGACATAAATTCGCATGTTGTTGCCGGATTATGCTTTTCCGTAGGTTACTGAAGACTTTCAATGTAGATTTCCGCTAAACAATGAATATGACGATCTGATTTTAATTGGTCAGGATACATCGTAGCTTTTTTATTCGGCGCATCCTATATTTTTGTGCCCAATGCACATGAAAATTACAAGGTCAGTGTGAATTTTTATTCTATTTCTGCAGAATTCTTGATTATGTTGGAACCATTACATTGTTGAAACTGTGATAATAGAATCGGTGAAAGGTCATCACTACATTCCTGACATGTTGTGTTTCGGTCTAAATATCCACGAGATTAGTGAGTGAGTAAAAGAATTAGTGCTGACTATGACAAACTTTAAATATGTATATCAAACTGGACATACTTCACCTTTGAACTATAGTAGCGCTATGTTTTCAATGGATTAACCGCTGACACTTTCCTGAAGTCAGTTACAGAATGAATGTGTCTCTTGGTTTGAATCTAAGTATTCCTTTATTAATATTTCTGTTCATAGAAGACGATAAATCGCATATGAAAATAAAGTTCAGGCGATGACTGACAGTCATTTCTTGAAAATAATCGAATTCAGGATTCAGTACGCTTGAGTATTTCATCTGACCAGTACAAATTGGGAATAGTAATAACTAATAAGAAAGATGGGAAATTATTCTCTCTCTCTCTCTCTCTCTCTCTCTCTATATATATATATATATATATATATATATATATATATATATATATATATATATATATATATATATATATATATATAGGAGCAAAGTTAGATTCACCGATTGAAATATGTATGAAGTGGAAAGTTGACAATTACTGATAGAAAACTCCAGATTTGTCAAGGAGTGAAGTTTGCTATTGAAAATTAAATCAAAGTATATGTAACTGAAACCAAAATGTCGTCTAACAAAACCCACTTTTAGCTTTCGTATCGATTTTCTCAAACTAATTAATTACATTGATGAAACCTTTCACATATCAGTATTCACTGATAATTTTTGTACCATAGTGTTCAGAATTTATTCGAAACTGAATGAAGACGCTATCTTAAACAAGTTCGATTAACGCCAACCCACTTCCAGCTCTTATATTGTAGTATGCGTTACTCATCACAATGGATATAAGTAGTATTTGTTGAGAGGGAGACAAAAATCATAAGAAATTACGAGCGATAGGTAAATATTCTGCCCAGAGAAATACAAGAGACAATGTAGGTGTATTAAGAGCAAACCAAGAGGGAAGAAGAAAAGGAAATGAAGTATATTATGCAAATGACTATCCTAGTGTAAGGTATATCACATTCGATGACTACTGTACAAGATGTCAATCATAGACATCCCTTCCTTCTTCTCAGTCTTCTCGTTTCCTACAATATGAGTAATTTGTTCTTCATTGTGGAGAAAACTTATTGTTTATTCACATTAAAAACCTCCTAAGGGATTCAGTGAATTAACAAAAATATTTACGACTTTAATATGTTATGCTATGGAGTTCCTTGCATCTCTAAAATTGACATGTAGTTAAAAATTCATCTGAGTATAATGCCGTGGGTAGATGTGAAATTCACATTTTACTGCAAGTCAACAAGTCTACGCATTTATGTGTATTAAACTGTAAACCAGGATGTAGTTTGTCAATGTATATGACTGCCCAATGAGATTTATGGTAAACTTGTGACCCAATGGTTGAAAGTTTGCTGGGCATGAAACTTCTTCACTATTTTCAGGATATTTATAACTGAGTTTCAATCAGTTGGAAGTTAAATTCACATCTTTGTCATTTACAATAAAATAGAGCAAAGGTTAACACCAATTTGTAATAGAAATTTTACCCGTCAATATTTAACATATTCCTCTTCTATAAATCATTAACATAATATAAAACTTGGGCAAGATGGTAGAACCCATCGAGTGGAACCCTAAAGGGAAACGACGAGTTTAACATCCGAAGGTGACATGGCGGGGATCGTGTGAGGAAGAAATGGAAGCTTGTGGTCAGTCGTGGAGCCAGGTTGAAAAGACTGCAGACGATAGAGTGCAATGGAGGCGTGCTACTGAAGCCCTATGTTCTACTAGGAACCCAAGGGACAAATGATAAGGTGGTAGAATGTAATTCCATATTAAACAGAGGAATACACCCATTTGATCACAGGAAAAGATAAGACATGGTTGCAGCAAAGAAAAAATTTCTTTTCGACGAAGTCGTCAGGCCCTCGAGTGGAATCCCCATGGGAAGCGACGAGTTGGACGTCCGAGGGTGACATGGAGGAGGTCGTGCGAGGAGGAAATGAGAGCTTCTGGGCTGTCGTGGAACCAGGTTCAAAAGATCTCAGAGAACAGAGGTCACTGGAGGCGTGCTACTGAAGCCCTATGTTCCACTAGGAACCCAAGGGACTAATAATAAAAAAAAAGAAAACATTCATGAATATATGTTATATTGGGCAAAATGTTCCAGAATTATTTCCGGTAAGGGGGCAAAATATTAGATTTGTTTATTTGATATATAGCATACAGTGATATAGTATTATTTACTTGATGACGACACTTCGAGCATGAACTATTGCTCATAATCATATCAGTGTAATCATACTACTTTCGACATTTGATTTTTATAGTCCTATCACCTCATATTATTCGTTTCTATTGATAGTAAAAGTTTCCATATCTTTGATATAGATGTTGCGTCATTTCGATTACATGTGTTGGATGTTTATTCGATGAACAAAGACTCAGTAATCAATCTCTCTCCAACCAATCTAATCTAGGAAATTCCATACAATGACTAGCCGGTTGGGGTCAGTTAGATTCGCGGAACATAGGAATTTAGCTAAATATAGAATGACAGACCCGAATAAGATCAGCAGTCTAGAAAAATACTCAGCCATTGCAATTTTATCCATTGACACACAACTACACTATAGGTTGAGTGGGATAAACCCACTGCACTCCAATATAATTGGCTGTAGAGAGATTGATTTCAAACAACTAGTGTCTTTTATGAATTTCGATAGTATAGCTAGAAGATGAAGTTTATCTGAACAATGTGATGTATTTGCCCAATACATTTCGAACAAACGGATCACACATTTACTAGTCAAATCAATATATATTCAACCGTGGAGTGGGGGGACAAATACAACAATTAACACAATAGGGGATTAAAATTAGGAGAGATGTGAACAAAAAAGAAGAGTGATACGTTGATTCTAATCTTGGTAAGAAAACAAAGTTTACCAAGGTAGGTGTAGTGTAAGAATAAATTGCATTTTTTGCCTACAAAGGTGGTTTCAGTTAGCGTATGGCTATGGCTTCTGCAAACTTCAGAATACGTCCCTGACTGTTCCTATGTAAAACTTTGAAAGCTGTTTGAATATTAACCTGTTCCTATGATATGTTTAGCTATAGATGAAGAGGATCGTCTCCCACCAGCGTTTATTATGGTTTCACTTTCCATTTGTTTTTGAAGCCATTTAACTACTCTTTCGATGTAAACTCTTGATTCACTAACGTGCTGTTGTCCAAAGGTATTAACATTCTCTTTGACTACAAACCTCCCATTTCCTAGTACAACTTTTCCGAGGGAACTATTGTTGCTGTGTACCGACAAAGTTCATTTCACATTTGAAGATGAACGCTTTCGACAAGTTGATGGTTTAGCTATGGGTAGTCCCTTAAGACCATTACTAGTTAATATTTATGTCATATATCGAAAATCTGGCTGCTGATCTCATCGCTACAGTTTCTCTTTACAGGAGATATATTGATGACATCGTAGTGATTTATGAGAGACAAGGCTTGTCTATTAAAAAGGACTTAACACCGTACAAACTCAGATCAGCCTGACTTGTGAGAAGGAGAATAATAATCAACTGCCACTCTTGGACCTACTCCTGAGTCGACGAGAAAATGGTTCAGTAAGACAGTCAGCTTACAGAAGGCCTACCTGGACAGGACAACACCTGCATTTTCAGTTTTTGTCCAGGTCTAGTAAAATGCCTGTTTAGTAGAATCAGTCGTACATCAGATACGATGGATAAAGATATCAAATTACTGACCAAAACACTTATGAAAAATAGATATCCGGTGGAGTTCATAGACCGTTGTAGAGGTCAAGTAGCACCGAAGCCAACTTTATACACGGTTCCTAAGAAAAACGTCATATCACTCCCATACAGAAGGGAGTTGAATGGTATCATTTTGAGACATAGGCTAACATCAGCCATTAAATAAACATATTACGCAGCGAATCTTATCATTGTGGAAAAAACAAAACACATACTTCACCCCAAACCTAAACATTGCATCAATGGTTACGTCACATCGCGTTGTGTTTACTAATTTACATGTGTATATGGTCACACATACATAGAGAGGAGTAATCGAGTCATGCAGTCGAGGGTGGGAGAACAAGTACCTAAGTGGCTTTAAAAAGAAATGGAGTATAAACCTTGGTGGGAGACGACCCTCTTCATCTACAGCTAAACATATCATAGAAACAGGTCACAAAATTAATATTCAAAGTTTTATGTAGAAACAGTTAGGGATTTATACTCTTCGGTTTAATATATATTGATTATGATTTGACTGAGATAGCCGTAGTTTGGTAGACTAGTATTTGTACTGGGTGATGACTGAAGGTGAGATGAAAATCTGAACCGCGACCAGATCGAACCAGTGACCACCGGGTTACCGGCCCAGTGCTCTACCAACCCAGTACAAATACTAGTCTGCCAAACTACGGCTATCTCAGTCAAATGATAATCAATATATACTCCCCCTTTTTGATTCAGTTAAATTTGGATTGGAATGAGAAGTTCTGACTAGGCAGCCAGTGTGGATACGATCAAGCGGTAGTAACGCGTCACGAATTCACATGGTAGTCGGTCAAAACTCTTGGTGATTGAAGTGAAATAAGATTCTGGTCTGCAGTCAGACCTCGTAGCTCAACTGGTCACTAGAGAGTAACCAATTTCATGTTGTCTAGTCCTGATGCTGACTGAACTTATTAAAAATTTTCCAATTTTATTTGTTTCAGCCAGTTCTTAGTTCACTTTGAACCATGCAGGAATTCGTAATTTTAACTGACACATTAAGACCTAACAATTAGTAGATTACATTGCTATATAACTTGATCGGTTAGTCATAATATAACTGAGGGCTTATTTCTCAGTGAATAATCTGTGGAACAATCCACAAACATGTTGTCTGAGTCATACTTGAAGAACAATGCTCAAGTATCTATCCTCAAGGTACACAATATTTCTTAGCTAATGTATGATAGAGTATATTATAAAGAAGTAATTATTTATGCTAGTTTGGGGTTTACGGGGATTTCCTTCCAAGGTGGTATTCATCACGGACTGATATCACTTGAAGGATAGTTGAAAGCCCGAGAGTACTGAATATTTGTTTCGTCTTAGTATAGAACTCCTTAGCAGGACGCATCAACAACCCGCCCAGGGCCTTGAAGTCTGGCACTGAACATGCTAACAACCTATTCACTATGTAAGAGTTCAAAGGTTCCTATTTCTTTGAATTCACAACATAGCATAACCGTCAACCAAAGTTTTGAGTTAGCATCTGTTTCACTTCCGACCGGGTCATGGGTGCGTACTACTGAAGAGTTCAACACCAGGACGAAATAGCTGTCCAATGCTTTTACATCCTCAGTGGTCCGTCAACTGATGTCAGTCCGCTTTAAATACTACCTTGAATTATGTAATTATCAAGAAAATTGATTTCCATCGTTGGATGCGATACACGTGATGGGATTATCGTAACATTCTCCATTTAAAATGATGTTTTAAATTCTAGTAAATTTTATCTTGACCATCATAATGTTCAATGAAGATTTATCTATTAGCTCATTTTAAGAAGTATAAAATATTATGAGGAATGGACTACAGAAAAAAGTGTTTTTTTAGAGCGGAACAAATCCACCCTAAAACATTATACTCCATGGAATGGTCACCGTTTATTGATCTAATGACTTATAGTTAATCAAATCAATAATCATAAGAACGCGTACAAAATTTCAATTCATCGATCATTTATTGTTCAAAATGTTATAAAAAAAATTTATAAATCTCTTCTCTCCAGTTTTAAAACCTGTCCTCTTCCTTTTGCCTAGTCTCTTTTATGTCTTTGTCATATTCTATATTCAATTTTGTTCATCCGCATACTTTCCTGCTTTATTAGTAGATACTCAGCCTTAAAGTTATTGTCCAAACTTTAACCTACATTGACTATCAACATATTTACTATCATTTATATGAGTGTTGCGATTATTATCATCATTATCACACTGAGTGATAGAAATTTTAGCGGGGGGATTCGAACCAGCGACCTAAAAGGTTATCGACTCGGTGCTCTATGAATAGAGCTGAGATCTGGATGCTGACTTCAATCACCAAGGGTTTTCCATCACGAATTCGTATGGCAATCAAGCAATACACTGGGGATTGAAGAGAAATTAAGATCTAGTCAACAGCCAGGTCTCCTAGCTTAGTCGGTACAGCATAGGTCACTGTTTCGAATCCTGCCATGGCCTAGATTTACCTTTCACCTTCAAATATCACCTGACACTAATACAAGTCTGCCAAACTGCGACTATCTCAGATAGTTAAGCTTATTATTATCTACGTCCTTGTTGTAGCTGACTGACAAACAATCACTGATTAGTTCATGCAAAACCTTATACTATTCGAGTAAAGCTTGAAAAGGATCTGATTGACAGTAGTATATTGTCCGCTTACACTTATACTAAATAATGTTTATCAAAACTAATAGTTTATTTAAGAAAAAAAAGCAGTTAATACCATAAAAATGAACCATACTGAAGCCTATAAACAGTGTACAGCTAATACCATAGCTGTAACTGAAACAGCGGAGAAAATACAAGTTATGAGCAGCAAGCATTCAGCGATTGCACCTGACATTCTTACATAACGTGCTGCTTGTGCTTGTAACATTTGTAATTTCAATTCATATCCTTCCTCGAGTAAACCTTTTCTGTTTAATTGTAATATTTCATCTGGACAAGGAAGTATATCGCATAATTCCATATGAAAATGTCCTAATCCTCCATTGCACGCTTCACCTAAACAATCACGTGTACGTACACGTCTTCGATGATAGTCAAGTCCACAGTTGGGTGAACATTCAGACCATGGTGACCATTCAGCCCATTGACCACGTATAAATTCACAATATTTTCCATAGGCTTCTTCTGGACAAATACAATAAGTTTCCTTTAAAAATAGAGAGAAAAAAAATCAACAATCCACAAAAACATTTATCCATTCTCCTTTTTTTAAATTTGTCAGTGTCAGTTCAATTAGACGTAACCAACTTTTAGAAAATATTTCAGTTTTCTATGTTTCAGTGGTAGTGAACATTTCAACCTCTTCATATCTGTTAAACACATGCTTCTTATAGATAACCTAATGTATATACAGTTCATATACAGTTTCATTTTACATTGGATTACAAGTCATAACTATCTAATTAACGCCTATATGGATGTCACCTAACTGTAGTAGCATACTGCAGTGGGGAGTGGAGCCTATGACCCAGCAGTAAGGATTTAAACAGTTGAAATAAAAATTACTGTATTACAACGATCAGGTGCTCTGTAGTATTAGTTTCGAGTATCATGGAATTTCATTGGCAAAAGTAATTCTAAATTTATCTTCTACTGAACCTTTCATAGAATTCATCAAGTTATTAGAGTTGACGTTTCAATATTACACTCCAAAAAATATTAGTACCATTTATTTAGTGAGCTTATATACCTATTTTGGATGTCTTCAAGGAACATTGAAGTAAGAATTTATTTATTGTCTGGTATGACTCAGTTTCTACTATTACGTTTCATTAGTTCCAGTGTTTTACCTATACCTACTTATTATTCCCCCTTATTCTTTCTTGGACTCTGAAATAAAGACTACGTTGTATTGCTTAGAATTCTGAAGGCTGATAGTAGAGCAAGTAGCATACCCCTAAACCAGCTGATAAATGCAGTCGTGGACAGGCACACACAACTCTTGTAGACTACTGGCTAAAAAATATATTATCTGATGACCAGCATCCTCTGCATCCGCACGTCTCTCCATGCCTGTTGTCTGGGAAGACAAGAAGCAAATATATTCAACTCTATGCACGCACAATCACATATAAAAATTCAACCGTATCTTATTTAGCTTGTGTATTGTGTGATGGAAATCTTGTTAGGCATGCTCTTATCAACCAACTGTGTAATAGCGAATAGTTATCATGTCCCTGAAGTCACTAAACATTTCAATAATCCTGTTATTCGTGACTGTTTATTATATATTGTCAAACAGAACCATTGTTAATATTTTAAAAATGTTGTACGATGGGTAAAACGGTTTAAAAACACAATGAGAATCCTGTACTGTAAACATAACTATACCGCGAAATACAGAGAATATATTATTATTATTATTATTATTATTCAGAGGTGAACAGGAAAAATGCATGACTTAGTATGAAAATATTAACTTCCTCATCATCTTACTGATAAGTGCCAACAAACACGAGACATAGTTTAAGCAGGACTTTCTGTCGATTGCCTCCAGTCAACTAACATCTATCAAAGTTCACCGGATTCATGAGTTTCCTAGTTTGGTGGCCACAATCCAAAACTAACTGATAAAAATCTATCGGCGTCCAGGATTGGTTATTTTGTGGAACCTGATCTCTTGAAGCTTACGGAAACGACCGATATTTACTGAAAAGTGGAATGATGTCTATTCCAGTAGAGTTTTATGTTCTTTTAGGTTGACCTTTACATTAATGATAGAAATCTTGAAGGATGCACCAAGTGATGGATGAAGTGTCCTTTCTTGTCTTAAAGACAATCAAATGAAGATTTTAAAAGAAGTGGTAACCTTAAGCTACTTTAAGACAAAAATAAATTTTATATGTATAGTATAGATATCCAAATTGGAAAGTCTTAATTTTCCGAGGTGGAGTTAACAAAGTCGAAGAAAATTGAGGCTTCATTTCACTAAAATGAAGTGTGAATATGGTAGAACTAAACTTTAGTGACAGATAACTGTGAGGACAGCCAATTAAGTGGGAGGTGATTTATTCTAGATATCCGCTACGTCCGTTTACTATGTTGCTGACGCTGGATAAACCTTTGATGAATTATGTCGAAGACTACGTTGCAGATTGTATGTGAAATTCGGTGGAGTAGGTAATGCGCTTGAAACAGACAAATGCTCTGTTTGGAGGCTTAAACATAGTCTAGGAAGATGACTTAAACAGGACTGGGTAACTCATAACTTACCCAATGTATTTCTACATACATATGTTCTGGTAAACCACAGATTCTTGGCACGAATGACCGAAATGCGAAGAAGGGACATTTTCGATGTATAAATGGTACCACAATATACACTGGCGCTTGGAAGACACACATGCCATTATCTGAAATAGGTTACCCTCATCAAGCTATTGTTCCCAAACTGCAATTCGTTGTTCGGACGCAACTGGAGTGCACGAAAACAACCTTGAAAATATGTGGAGTCACCACGAGGGGATTATTTCCCAAATAGCATTTAAGTGATATTGTCTCATAATATGGATAAGAGGCAATGCAAACAGTGGTGTGCTTTCAGAGATGATCAACATATTTAAAATCTAGATAATTTATTTCACATGTGAAACAGATTAATAAATTGTAAAGGAGGTACCATTTGCCTTAATAACTACTCCGTCCTTCATATTCTTGATTCTAATTGGTCAGTGCATACTTGAAAGTGATTCGTTGTCACTAAAGTTTAGCTAAACCTTGAGAATTCATGTATTGTAGACTTGATTTGGCTAGTTTTCTAAGAATCATTCATTATAATCAGTATAAATATTCTGCTATAAGCTGCTTGTTGACCTGACCTAACCTCTATTCAGGTTCTCAAATATACATTCCTTTGTACTTTTTGATTGAAACTAATATGTACTGATAGAGTCGACTTTAATCGCCTCTAATAAAACAGTAACTAATTAGCTGCCAATACTCCCCCATATGGTTAACTTAAAGTAAGCAAATGAAATGATTGTGTTGTCCAAAGATACAAGATCTTCTACTAAAAGCTTTAATTAAAAATCTAAACCTTTTTCTGTCTTTCTATATCCACTGACTGACTTTTTGAAAAGTGCATCTCTGTTGCTAAATACGACTGTTCTTTTTGAGCGGAGAAAAGTTTTCACTATTTCAAGCTAATCTGCATTGCTTGATCATGGATCATATCATTTAATCTCAACCTGCACACTGTACTTTATTATCAGCCGTGACATATACACTAATCCATGTATAAGTGGTCAGAAGTACTAAAGATCTGATTGTGTAATCAACTCGGTGCATAAAACTTTCTTCTTGTCCTTGTAACGTGATATTATACTGATCGGTGTCACTTTGCAGTATTGGTGTGGTAGGTACTTAGCGATAAGCAGTGATACTCATATTAATTATATTGATCTTAGTGACTACTAGAGGAATCCAGGACGAACGTCCCTTCCTATTTGGGACTCGTCAGCTGGATGTACCTGCACCCCAGTGAGTAATGTTCCCACTGAGGTTCGAACAAGAACCCATCTTTTCAAACATCAGGATGTTGTCCACTGAGTCGCCGTGGCAAGATTACCACCTCTTGAATGCTTGATATTTGTAGATAATGTATAGATATAAAAATACTGCAGTTCACTAGGATTTTTGAAGTGAAATCGTGGTTGATTATCAACCAAGGAAATGACTGTGAACTAAAACAATTTCATTCAAGCTAAACCTAACAGAGCTTAGACACATAAACTGTGAAGCGGTTTTTTCACTACCAACTCAGGGATTATGACAGTATTACACGGCTGTTGTATAGCTTAGATATTGCTTCATTCAGTTGATGAAAGTAGAACATGTCAAAAAATTCAGCTTTCTGGCTAGCAGCATTACTCATTTGTGGTAGAATCACCGTATAAGCATTATCAATGCTAGATGATGGATACAAGGCAACGAAGGTAAGTTAGTTAGTGACGGTGTAAATCTTCATCAGCTGAAGTGGCTTGGATACTTGTTGTGCATTTTGAGTCACCATCTACCTCAACGTGAAACGCTTACCGAAGGACTAGGTAATGAGGCTAAAATGTGGCATCGGTCCATGAAGTCACTGACAGTCCGTCTGAGCTGTGTAGGGAAATGTGAATTACCTGTTCGGGGTCCTTGAGACCTTAGGAATCAGTGATTAAAGATCATTGATGACATGACTGAAAATCGGTCACAATGCCTCAGAACTCATCTCGTTTTATTCATCTTTTTCCACTTTGGTATCACTTTTTTTCTCATCAATTGTTCTTTACCTACTCTTTTGAAGTGTAACAAGTTGAACTTATGCGAGGTTTCACACTGCTTTTTTCTGTTCATCTTCATTCGATCAGACAGTCTCTTTATACTGTTTTATTGAATCCTCCAGGCAGATCCGTGATTTCAATGCAAAAAACCCTTATCGCAACAATGAACACAACGTAGTAATTTCATACAGTTAAACATTCATTAATTATGATGTGTTCAACCAAGACTGAGATTTCACTAATGTGTTCTACTAAATGATTAGTTTATATACAATGATCATGCAATACCACTGATATGGTGGGGAATATTTGTAGCTCAGGTGGATGGTCTTAATTGGATTGTGTTCTCTGAGCTGGGTTATTTAGTCATGCAGCTTTCATCGTCTTTCTAGACGACATCATCACCACTAACTTCAATATAAAGTGAGGTGTCAATATCTCTCCATGAGTGAGTTAGTAGTTTACCCTGACAAACTGGTTAGTGATTGGTTGTTTCCTCTGATTGTTGTGTATTGACTGTATAGATTTATTGACTGGTCACGGGAGTACAACCAATTTCATGTTATCTAGTCCTGAGTGTAGATCGAATTCTATCGATCATATTTGCAATGTGGCAACCAAGCTAGGAAGCTCAGCATAGGGTGCACAACACTAGGTGATGCGGGTTCGAATCTCAGGCTGCACATCAGTCCCGTCGAGGTTGCAGATACGCCTTGCTGACGAGTGCCAAAAAGCACGAAACCTAGGTCCAGGGCTTCTGCCGATTGCCTCCAACCAACTAACTGTATAGATTTTCCTGTTGGTCAGAGATGAAGCAGATGAACAGCCAACAGGAAAATCTATACAGTCAATGACACAACAATCAAAGGAAACAACCAATCACTAACCAGTTTGTCAGGGTAAACTACTAACTCACTCATGGAGAGATATTGACACCTCACTTCATATTGAAGTTAGTGGTGATGATGTCGTCTAGAAAGACGATGAAAGCTCCATAACTAACCAATCCACTCAGAAAACATAATACAACCAATACTACTGATAATTCAAAGTTTTCTTCGAAAAGAATCAACGCAGTCAGATAGACAATTCAATGTATAATCAAGTGTAGAAGTTCATCAGCTCAAGTTGTCACCCTCCAAAATAAATGCTAAGTGGTAACTTCACTGTATAAATATGACATGGTTGGCTTGGTGAGTTTTAGTTCGCACTGTAATTAATTTGGCAAAATGAGTAAAAACACAATGAACTAATGTTAGTTGGATGGAAGCAATCTGCAAGAAGCCATATACTTAGGTTCCGTAATTCACAGTAAAATTGTTTATTCAATTTAATTAAATCACGTGAAAGTAATATTTGCATCTACTTACTTGTCCATTTTTTGAGCTGACACAATCACCACGAATACATATTGTACTAACACATCGATCTTTAAATTGCAAACAATTCGGAAAAAGATAAGCTGGATCACTTGTAAGCGATTCCGGACACCTTGACAAAGAAAATGAAATGTAAATAATATTTAGTAAATACTGAATGTCGTCATTATGAATATAGATTATCTTCTTAAGAAGAAAATAATTGATAGTTAATTAGTATAATTGTTTTATATCATACCGTCGTTGATTGGACCGAACTGATCGGTCTCTATTAGCATATGGGCTCCTGTGCGGAAGCCTCGATATTGTCTGCCTTCTAATTATGTTAATGATGGATCGTGGCTAGCAGTGGAAGTGGCTGTTGTGGCTCGGTGGTGCAGTGGATAACGCTCTGACGTTTGAAGCGATCGCTCCTGAGTCCGAATTCCTATGGGGACAACATCACTCACTGGGAAGCAGGTACATCCAACTGACGAGTCCCAAGTAGGACGAAATGCGCATCCTAGATTCCAATGCTAGCCACGACCCATCATTAATGCAAATGATGGTTAAAACATTTATCACTACAGACATATAAATAGGATTATGAATGGCCTGATATCTTATTACAGCTCGATTTTATGAAGCTAATTTGAAAATGCAACCGTGAGGGTAAAAGTCATCCCCAGGTGTTATCCTGCTCGCCATAAGTTGTAGGATTCATGGTGAAATACGTTCATACTCTGTGTTTTTCATGAATATCTCTCCTATTTGCATAGTTTTTGTAATCCTGTCTTTCAATGAATCATATTGCATACCATTTACTCATATGCCAATTATTGGCTACACTTCCATTTCTTAGGCAGAAAGTAAATATTGGTTATATTGTGTTCTCTGAGCTGGATTGTTTAGTCGTAGAGCTTTCATCGTCTTTCTAGACGATCTCATCAACACTAACTTCAATATGAAGTGAGGTGTCAATATCTGTCTGTGAGTAATTTAGTAGCTGCCTTGACGAAGTGGCCTGTGATTGGTTGTTTCCTTTGATTGTTGTGTCATTGACTGTATAGACTTTCCTGTTAGCTGTTCCTCTGCGTCACCTCCGACCTTCCTGCCGTCAATCATTTCTCTCATTGGTTGATGGATCGGATCTATGTCTATACATCTGTTGATTGCTGACTGACTAACTGAATGACCTGAATGTTTAGCTTCTAAGAATTCTCTGATATACTTTATGTCTCCTCCGTTCAAAATTTCTACATTGTCAAAATTGAATTCATGTCCATAGTTGTTATCCACGTGCATCGAAATGAATGATGAAATATCGTGATGTTTAATAGCCGATTGGTTCTCATGTAGACGAAGGCGAAGAGGGTGACCACCGTGTCCAATGTAGTGTTGACCACAGTTATTACAGTTGATTTTGTAAATGATATTCGGTTTGTCTTCTTTGGTTGTTGCATCCTTTGGTCTGCATAATGGTGTTTGGAGGGAATTTGTTAGTTTTTGAGCCACATCAATTCCACCAAGTGGTCTCAGTAATCTTGTCGTGATTTCTGACATACTCTTTATGTATGGTAGGATGGTGCGTTTATTGATTTCTGTTGATGACTTTGTAGTTGATGATGTACGGGATAGGCATCTTCTGATAAAGTTCCGTGGGTAGCTGTTCGTTTTTAGAGTGGACATCAAGTAATTTTCTTCGTTTCTCTGTGAAGTTGTTGTGCTGCAGTGTGTTCTCACTCTTTTCAATAGAGTGTGCACACAAATGATTTTGTGTGTTGTTGGGTTGTTGCTATTGTAGTTGAGTATTTGATCAGTGTGTGTTAGCTTCTTGTCCACTTGGGTTTCCAGCTTCCCCGTATTTGTCCTACTGACTAAAACATCTAGGAATGGTAGTTGGTTGTTTGACCCTTTCTCAATTATGAATTTGATGTCATTGAAAACGTTGTTGATCAAACTGTGGATATTTTCTATATCATCTTTTTGAATGATGACATAAGTTTCGTCTACATAGTGAATCCAAATGTTTTGTTTGACCACAGATAAGATGATGGCTTCCAGTCTGTGCATCACTGCTTCTACAATTAGTCCGGATATTGGTGACGCTATTGGAGTTCCTTTCATCTATTTGTATATCTTGCCTTTGAACTGTACGTATGTTGTCAGGCAGAGGTTGATGAGTTCCATCAGACTTGAACATTTGAGTTTTGTAAGTTCTGAAAGGTTTGTGTCTTCATTGATCAGGAAGAACATAGTTCAGCTGGCCAATGGAGGTTTGATGGATGTGTATAATACTGTGACAGTGAAGGATACCATCAACTCGTCGTTTCCTATGTTAATGTTCTTGATCTTTTCTAAGAATTCCGTTGGTGACTTGATGGAATGTCCACATGATGGAATGAAGTTTCAGTTTTCTCTAAAGTTCTCTTGATATGTTGTAAGTTGGAGTTTCCGGAAGTGAGACTATTGGTCGTAGAGGAATATTGGGTTTGTGTAGTTTGGGTCTGCCGTAGAATCGAGGAAGGATAGGTCCATTCGATTTCATACGCCATTTGTTTTGCTTTGTTATTATTTTTTCTTTGAGTTTGTTCAGGGTTTCATTGATCTGATTGTCAAACTTTTGGATACGGTTGGTTTCAAGTGGTTGATACACATTTTCGTCTTTGATTAAATTTCCTGCCTTCTTGATATAGTCTTTTTTGTCCATGACTACTGCAGTTCGTCCTTTGTCTGGTGAAAGTATAACTATCTTTTCTATTTTTCAGTCTTTTTTATGTTTTCTGTTCTTGAGTGTTCGTTTGAGCGTGATGTCTCTTCTACCAAGTCATTGGTACGATTGTTTGCCGTATTTCTTGTTGAGTGGCCTAATTTAATCCTGATGTATTAAGTGACTATTCTAATACCGCAAAGAATTCTGGTTTGGAGGTATCTCTTCTGCTGTAATTCAATCCTTTTTGAAGAAGTTCTTTCTTTTTTGTTAGTGGTTGTTTTGATAAGTTGGCAACGCAGTCGTTTGTTTCTTCGGTTGTAGATCCTTCTAAGATTTTGAGTAGCTTCATTATGAGAACCTTTCTTCGTTGTTCTTTGTATCGTCTACTTGATTTTTCAATTGCTGTTGTCAATGTTGTCATGTGTTGTGCCGTATGCTTTTTAGTTTTCTATTTTGATCATTAATCGCCAATTGGTATTTCGAAGTCCGATGATGAGCATCTATTATCATCAATTGTACCATTTGTCGTCCACCTTATTCGGCTATTTTCCATCACATTGGACAGTTAATCGGTGGTCTATATCTGGCATTCTTCGGCAAAACATGCTGACGTAAGCACTCATGGAGAAAGAATATTTGTTCTTTCGGGAAGCTTTCCTCCTAAAGAAATCCTCCCATCTTCGAACAAAGTGAAGCTGGTTATACTCGTATGATTTTGAAATGGTGGAGAATATTTTTAGCTCAGGTAGATGGTCTTGGCTATATTGTTTTTTATTCATGGATTATATTTACTCAAGAAGAGTGATGCTGATAGATCATAGTGAGTTAACTGATGCTGCAAATTACATCGAAAAGGATTTACGATTGCAGTTTTCACTTCGAAATATATGCATACAGAACACAGAAGGCTACAACACCTAAGGGTAACTTTTAGTCTCACCCCCTAACTGTGTAGTAAATATACTGCATTTCGAAAAATGTATACAACTACGTGTACAACATTATACCAGTAGAAAAACAACTAATATGAAGTCATACTCTACTACAATTCTCTTATATTCCATCTATTCCGATTTGGCACCAGGTAAGACAGTATTTTAACTCCTTATATTAATGATGGATACTGACCGTTTTGTCCTATTTAGGACTCGTCAGTTGGATGTACCTGCCTCTAAGTGAACGATTTTATTCTCACTAGGACTTAAATCCAGGCCCCACTGCTTCAAACGCCAGAGCGTCATCCGTATCTTTTGTATTAAGACTAAAAGGATTTTTATTCAGGGGCACAGGAGCTTTCAGTCAAACATACAAGGTAATTACGACTAGTCAGCGTACACAAGGTTATCAAATAATGTTTTCTGTTGTTTTTTGAAAGGTGTTGTTAAGGTTAAAAGATGATCGCATAATAATCTAGGAAGCAATTGAACAGATAAGAGAATTGGGACTGTCGGAGGAGGGAAATAATAATGTAGGAAGATTATGACCAAAGTGAAATAAAAATTAGACGTACCTTTCTTGAATGTAGAGATCAAGAAAATATTCATTATACCCCTTCCCATATAGGTTGTTTATCATCAAGTGACTAGTTAGATTAATTTCAATGATTATGTTAAGCGAAGAAGTAGGGAAAACAAAAAATATGTGTCATGACTATTAATATTCTAATAGATGGCTTATTATATGTCAAAGAGGCTCTTATCAGTTATCAAGACAGTTATGCCATAGTCATAATGTGCAAATCTCCTAATCCGAAAGTCTCTGTGAAACCTGAAGGTTCAGAATTCTATCCCTACCTTGGTCACCGATATGAATTGATGATTATTATTACTATTAATATCATTAATACTATTATTGTTATTATTATTATTTGTCCATTGGGTTCCCAGTAAAACACATGGATTCATTAGCACGTCTCCATTACACTCTCTACTCTACAATCCTTCCAACCCAACTCCACCACTAAACACATACTCTCATTCCTTCCTCACACCATCTCCTCCATATCAACCTCACCTCAGACGCCCAACTCGCCGCTTACAATCTGGGTTCCACTCAACGGCCTGGCCTACCACGTGATGTCCCCAAATGGTCTTCTCAGTGCATGCCCATTCCAATCCATCTCCACCTCCTTCTGTATATTTGTTGAGCAATAGGTTGTCGGTTGGTTGGTTGGTTCGTTGCCAGCCAGCCAGCCAGCCAGCCAGCCAGCCAGCCAGCCAGCCAGCAGCCAGCCAGCCAGCCAGCCAGCCAGCCAGCCAGCAGCCACAAGCCAACCAGCCACAGTGAGTTCCTTGTTGCTTATCCTTGCTGACAATCCATCTCAGCTTCAGTAACGAGCCAGTGTAGACAGCTGTTCACGAATGTATGCACTTGTTTGTTGGGAATGCTTTTCATGACATGCCAAGTCTCTGAAGCATATGGAAACACTGAGTTGACTGAATTAGTGTTGAAAATCCGGATGTTGTTCACACTTCATGCTGAGTGCAGTAGATCTCCACACTGATTTCAGCTTAGTGAAACCATGTCTTGCTGTCTTTTCATCCTGGCTGGCTTTGACGTCCTCGTCTGTGCCACCGCCATCTGTTGCTGAAAGGATGCTGTCTTGTCTATGTAGGTGAAAGAGGCTACTATCTTTACGTTCTTCCGGTTGATGGTGGTTGGAGCTTGTTGTTGTTGTTGGGGGTGGTGTTGGTGTTGGTGGTGTTGGTTGGGTATCCTCATCACCTCCACCTCTGTCTTCTCTATATTCACTTGAAGTCCCGTCTTCGCTGCCCTGCCTCACCTCTTCTGTCAACTTGTTAGTTTTCGTTTGTAGATCTCCAAGTCTGTGCGACACTAGATACAAGTCATCGGTGGCGAAATCCAAATCTTCTAGAATCTTTTCCTTGGTCCACCCAGTGTATCCCCCTCCTCTCGCTTCTCACTGTTGTCTGCTGCATGATCCAGCCCCGTCCACTACAATCAGGAATATCATGGGTGATAGTAGACTGCAGTCTTGTCTTACTCCTGTCTTCACTTCACTTCAGAGGCATCACTGAGCTTCCATTGTGAATTACTTGGCTGGCATGTGGCGTCTTCATATATTTGTTGAATGAGATTGATAAATGTTTGTGGCACTAAAACCGTAGTGTTGAAGTAGTTTTCGAATTACTTCTCGGTCGACGCTGTCGAAGGCCTTTTCAAAGTGGATGAAGTACAGGTGAGGTAGAGAGTGACTGCTATTCTACGCTTTGTTCTATGATGATGCGTAGCTTTGCGTTGCAATTTGCTGCGCACATGATTTGTACTTCCTGAAGCCTGCCTGTTCTGGTCGTAGTTTTGAATCCAGCGCATCCTTTAGTCGCTCCAGGATGATGCGGCCTAATATTTTGCTTGGGGTGGACAGGAGGATGATTCCTTGCCAGTTCTTGCAAACATTCAGGTCTCCCTCCAGCTCTTTTTCCAATCTGCAGGTACCTTTCCCTCCTTCCAACTTTCTACAATAGTGGTGTGAGCATGTCCGCTGTGGTTAACCGGAAGGTGGATGATCTCCCACAAAAGGTTAAACCTATTTATGTAAGATTTCCTATCAGTCATTTGCAAATACTGAACATCAAATATACTTCTGTGTTATACAGTTGATTAATTAAATGGTATTCATAGAGTGAAAAACTTTCGAAATGTACTACTGAACCATCTGAATAAGTAGAAACCATTCAGGCTGATCTGTAAACTTTACTAACCAGATCAGAGTGATCTAAGCATCTGACGCCTGTTATCTGACTTGAATATGCGTATACCTAAAACAGGAGAATCAGTTTTCAAATGATTTGCTAAGTGCATAGTCCACGCTGATATTTCGAAAGAGTAGCCAAAGTAGTTTTTAACTACTCAAGTCCCTCAGTAGTATGTTTCTTTAGTTTATGACACTTTTATGTCAGATACCAGAAAGCGTTGTTGAATATGAAAGACTTTACGATGACACGGATTATAACACATGTGAATACAATGCATACATAATATATGAATGATAGAACTAACTCGCAGTGATATGTATTTGTCCCTGAAGTTCCGATGCAAACACCCCCATTAGCAATGTTACATGCCACGTTGCCTGGAATATTGACACCTGATGCCAATTCTAAGCATGGATCACGTGTAGTATTGCAATTCACACCCATATGAGTAGGCTAAAGAAAACATTTTTGAAGAGAGAAGTGTAAAAATATGCTTAATATAAGCGTAAAACTTGTGCAATGTGCTAGAATTCAATTTCATATTAGATTTGTTTATTTGATTTATAACACACAGTGTGATCTAGTATTATTTACTTGATGACGATGTTTCCAGCATAAATTGTTGCTCATATTCAAATCAGTTCAACAAACTAATACAAGAAAAATTTCCCTCACAAGGTAATCAAATTACAAATGAAACATCATCAAACATCGATAGATCAAAGTGGGTAGTCAATCTCTCCTCGAGAATCCTAAGCTTATCTTGGACGAAAGTACTCGAAAAAGGACTGAACTTCACTTGACAATAGGTCATCTAAAACCAGATATCATATCTAGCATAGAAGTAATGTTAAGCTCAGTGGATACAGCAACTGCTGAACAGTTTACTGCACAGTGTACGTTAATATGGAAAAGATAAGAGAAGAGATAGCGAAACTTAACAAAACTTAGAAATTCACCTCTGAATACTCTACGGAATGAAAATGAAATAGTGATTGCTAAGTTTGATAAAGGCAATTCAACAGTAGTTATAGACAAATTGGATTATTTCAACAAAATTGATAAATATATCCAAACAAGACTATATGAAGAGATCAAGAAACCTTAAGATATAGCCACGATTAAAATTAAGAAATCTGCAGCCTATCTGGTACGCTGACTAATGCCATCTCTAGGTGAGTCTAAATGTTTTAACTTAATACCCAAAACTAATAATCCCAGCAGAATTTATGACACTATTAAGGTTCATAAACCAGGTTATGGCATTAGACCCATAGCTGACTTCGGAAAACCCCAACATATGAACTAGCAAAGTACTTACCTTCGATATTATACCCTATTAGAAACCATTCAAATTCAGACTAGTAAACTCTTACGAGTTAAAACTTAGGCTTAATGACCTACACATAGAAGAGGATGAAAAATGGTTAGCTTCGATGTAACTAGTCTGTATATTAAAATATCAATCAATATGGCACTGGAGACAGTCAGAAGTCAACTAAATATTGACTCAGAACCTACTCAGAGTTTTAGACAATGATACGATCATGAGTAATAATTTATGCTTGAAAAGCCATCAAGTAAATAATACTATATCACTGTGTGTTATAAATCAAACAGCCAAATCTAATATGGATTTTTAAACTGTGTAGTCATTCATGGAGGAGGTTGTTTGTTCCAACCAGTTCAATCATGCACTCAGGCATACCTATATATTAAAGCTTTTCCACACACCTATTCATCGCCTTCTTTATCTACTATCGAATTGGCTAAAATATTTTGCATAAATTAATTTACTGAAGAATATACTACAACACATGGCAAACATGTGTCTTAATAGGATAACATTGAAGAAAATACCGTGATCATATGACGTAATAAAGTGTAGTTCCTTATCTCATCTTTCATTCGGTATTGTGATACAAAAACGTGATGCTATTTTTATGTATTCATTATTCAGCTTAGCATCAAGTCAACTTCCATCTTTATGCACCAAAAAAGTAGAACTAAAGTGCAAATGATGAAATAATCTTACAGTTGGACTTGTTAATTAAACAGAAATTTTCAAAATACAGTAATATATACGTAGGAATACAAATCTAGGGTGCTTGAATCACAGGACCAGTAAATGAATTTCATTTCCACTTCAGTTAATTAATTACAGTATTCAGATAAGAAATGAGCCCATTTGGTTAAAGGAAAAGACGGTTGCAGGGAATAGGTTTATTAAGCTATAGACTTATGAATATATATGTTACAGTGAGTAGATTATTTCAGAATTATTTCCCGTCAGGGATCAAAATATATTGAACATTGAAAAAGTTGAATATTGACGGATAACTACTAAATCATCAAAGAACTCTTGTAGAAAACGGTTTTCTGCTTAAATTCATAGATAAGAACTTAAAATCAAAGAACACAACTGAACGAACATATTTAGTGTCGAAAAGGATTCTGAATTTCGAACTTAAAAGTAGCATTCCTATAGATATCCTTTAGTAGAACACAGCTTATCGCCAACCTTCGAATTATTTCCCCCCTTGAGAAACATTTTGGTCCGTATATGAATGACAAGCTGGTGCATTAGGCCACATCATTATGTGTATACCAGTGTCCTTACTCTTGTGGAGCTGAGTACATTACCCGTACAATGCATCCGGATTCGAGAATACTACCGAGTGTGGCTGCCAAGATGAAAACGGAAATCCATAATCAGCTCAATAACAGAACACTTTATGAATTCAGGCCACCCATTTCCTTTTGAAACTTTTTCAAATACTCTAAAAGGTTTGATCAAATCACTCAAAGTGACATCAGAGCATATGGGCGTAGATGAGGCATTAACCATCCAAAAGTTCATATCCGCGCTGTATGTCCAAAAAAGGTAAGTTAAACTTTTGTTTCTGCCATAACCATCATAAGACCTTGATTGTAACATATTTATTCACGAATGGACAGCTTAATAAATGATTTCGTTGGAAAGTGCTCAGATACAATGAAAATAAGAAGAACCCAGATGCAATATCTGCATACTTTCCAGTAGTATTATAGTTCTAGTTTCCTAGAATATCTTCCGTTTCCCCTCATGTATTTTTCACAAAAACATTCAGTTGCTCTAACTTATTTCCAAAGTATTTTATTAACAAATAACTTAGAAGTAGTTTTCATCATGAACTGAAATCAGTTAGGGAACCATTGAAAATCTGGGAGCACTGGTCAGCTGTTTCGTCCTAGTATGGGACTCCTCAGCAGTACGCACCCACGACCCCGCCACAGATCGAACTCAGGACCTTCAGGTCTCATGGCGAACGCGTTAACAATTCAGCCACTGGGTTGGTTCCCAGTGGTTTACAATTTCCAACTTCTGTCAATTGGCGACACAGCGCGACTATCACCCAAGGTCTTCAGTTAGCATCCACTTCACGTCTTATACTAGGACGAAACAGCTGTCCAGTGCTTCCAGATTTTCAATGGTCCCCTAACTTATGTCAGTCCATGAAGAATACTACTTCTAAATTAAAAAATCCCCATTCATCTCAAAAATATATTCATAAATAACTTTCACAGAAAAAAAGAAAGAAATATTTCGTACTGAAACTTTGAAAAAGTGTTCTGTTTTGATTTCATTTGATAAAGAAATTAAATAACTTCCATTATATTGCATTTTGATAGGTTTGGAGAAATAAAATGAATGAGAAAATGAAGCTAATTTCTGATTGATATTCAATAATAAACTATTGGACAGATTAAATAACTCAATGTAGAAGTTTGTAAGGATTGATTTATTGATTTCAGGTTAATATTCATCTTGGATAACATTCAGTTTCAATGCGATCGTGTTATTATTTCTACTTTTCAGTTGGTTGACATGATAAACCTGAAGTTAGAATGACTATCAATCAGTAATACTGGATGTTAGTTGTATATTATTAGAAATTACTTGAAATTGTTAAATATGGTCCAGTAAAAATAACCTGAGTAGCTGAATAGTGTTTTATTTTCCATTGTACGTAAACAAACCACGTTCAATGCCAGCAATGAATTTTCTTGAAAAATACAAAATTAGAGCCATATAGCTGTTCAAAGCTGCCTAGTACCGAATGGTTCCTCAGTCAATATAAATTCGTCATTACAATTATCATTTACTTCTATTCAAGTTTATTATTTCTTGCCTATTTGTACATAATTATTTTATGCAGTTCATGAGAAAATGTAGGTAATCCGATAATTACTTCATTCTAAAGTTGGCATTCATCATGAACTGACTCTGAAAACCTGGGAGGGTTGGACAGTTATCTCGTCCAGTATGGGACTCAGTAGTGCGCACTCATGACGCCGCCATAGATCGAACTAAGAACCTTCAGGTTCTGCGACCAACACGTCCCTACTGGACAGCTGGGTAGAAATCCAATAGTCCATATTTCCTACTTCTTTCAGTTCGTGATATAGCACAACCATCAGCAAATGTTGTCACTGAGTAGTTGTCCTCATAGGCGCCCGGTTTGCCCCACCGGTCACGACTTCTCGTTGTAACTTCAAGAATCATCTCTGGGAGCCGCAAACCCCTGAATTTTACTTCAGTCTAAAATCGAATCTCTTGTAAATGAAACCCTTTTTGACAAATTTTAAGAACAAATGTATCCTATGTATTAAACAGACGTTATTGGCTGCTGTACCAACTAAGCCTATACTAAAGTAATATTTTCATTAAATGTATACGAAGGCTGCTGTCATTAAATGTAGACTACTTGTTTACTACTCATTTAAAGAGTCACAAAGTTCTTACAGTGTTATATAAAACTTTCGTCTGAATACTAGAAGTGAATTGAAGGATAAGATGGTGAAAGATACTCTGGACTGGGGAAAAGATCCTAGAAGATTTGGATTTCGCCACCGATGACTTGTATCTAGTGTCGCACAGACTTGGAGATCTACAAACGAAAACTAACAAGTTGACAGAAGAGGTGAGGCAGGGCAGCGAAGACGGGACTTCAAGTGAATGTAGAGAAGACAGAGGTGGAGGTGATGAGGATACCCAACCAACACCACCAACACCAACACCCAACAACAACAAGCTCCAATCACCATCAACCGGAGGAACGTAAAGATAGTAGCCTCTTTCACCTACATAGACAAGACAGCATCCTTTCAGCAACAGATGGCAGTGGCACAGACGAGGACGTCAAAGCCAGCCAGGATTGGAAAGACAGCAAGACATGGTTTCACTAAGCTGAAATCAGTGTGGAGATCTACTGCACTCAGCATGAAGTGTGAACAACATCCGGATTTTCAACACTAATTCAGTCAACTCAGTGCTTCCATATGCTTCAGAGACTTGGCATGTCATGAAAAGCATTCCCAACAAACAAGTGCATACATTCATGAACAGCTGTCTACACTGGCTCATTACTGAAGCTGAGATGGATTGTCAGCAAGGATAAGCAACAAGGAACTCACTCTGGCTGGTTGGCTTGCTGGCTGGCTGGCTGGCTGGCTGGCTGGCTGGCTGGCTGGCTGGCTGGCTGGCTGGCTGGCTGGCTGGTAACGGACCAACCAACAACCTATTGCTCAATAAATATACAGAATGAAGTGGAGATGGATTTGATTGGGCATGCACTGAGAAGACCATTTGGGGACATCATGCGGTAGGCCAGGCCGTCGAGTGGAACCCAGATTGGAAGCGGCGAGTTGGGCGTCTGAGTTGAGGTTGATATGGAGGAGATGGTGTGAGGAAGAAATGAGAGTTGGTGTTGAGTGGTGGAGTTGGGTTGGAAGGATTGTAGAGAAGAGAATGTAATGGAGACGTGCTAATGAATCCGTATGTTCTACTAGGAACCTCAGCGATAAATAATGTAATAATTTAGTATGAAAGATGAGGGATTTGCGCTAAACAACTAAATAACTATGATTAGGCAACTAGTGTGAGTATGATCAATGATCGCAATGTGTCACAGATTCACGTGGTAATCGGTCAAGACTCAGTGATTGAAATAAAATAACAATCTGGTCATCCGTCAGGTCTCATTACTGAGTTCGCAGAGCACGATGTCGATGGTTGGTGGTTCGAACCACCCCGTGCTCGAATTTTTATTTCTCCTCTGACCATGACCTAGTAAGTGCTGTCAAGCAAATATTCCTGGAATGAATAAACTTTTAAGAAATTTCCAAATAATGAATAATCTCAAGCTTTTAGCCTAAAACCTGTTATGCATCATATGAACACACAGATGAGAAATAAAAATGAAGAAAATATACAAGTGTAAAAATGATCCTCATTCTTCACTCAAAGGGAGGAAGTACAAAAAAAAATATTAGTCGATAAAACTATCAAGTTACACAGATCACTGATAGAGACCAGTTACTAAGAAGTAAGTAATAACATCCGTACTTCAAATGTCGATAATCTCAGAGTAGTTTCGTTAGAAAAAAACTTCATCAGATTCAGCATATTTAACTGCCTAGGTCACTAGATCCTTTACTAACGTTTTCAGTAACTTAAAGATAGCTAGACTGTAGTTGAACTTCTTCTGAGAGCATTTTGTTCACCATTCCATCCATTTATTGCAAAAGTGGATCACTGATTTCTATTCCTCACTTGTTACTTCATTAATCCTCTCCTCATCTCCGTATAAACAACTGTTGACTTCTGTTTATTACCATTGTCACCTCCATATTCTTTGGTTTGACAGCATATAATCACTTTCACATGGCAATGAATGCCTATTTTACGCTAACTCACACTTTACCTTACAGTGCTTCTTGATCAGACATTGAAGTATTGAGTAGTTATCCACGTTCATATTTTAAAACGTCTCAGATATTCAGGATTGTATATTACTTTTATAAGATAAGTTTATGACAAAAGACCTTCGTGACAAAATATTACGCTTGTTAAACCAAACAAGAATAGATATATTTTGTATTCAAAAAAATGCGTCCTCCTTTTATTTAGTCAAAGTTTATAAAGGAAACAAATTGTTTCAAGTTTCCGAACTACTTGTGATAACAACCTGAATAGTTTGTAGGGTATTCATTGATATAAACGTCTTTTTTGTCACTGACTACGGTTGGTTTAGAGATTATTGATAATCGGTAATAACTAAACAGGTTACTTGTTAGCCTTTTTAACTCTTCAGTGGTATTCACTTCTGACTGTACAGAATCGGAAACATAAGCTTTCAATATTCGTTTCCTCCCGATAAATTTAACCACCACACAACAAAGTTTTTCAACTTTGAAACTATGTTACGATGGCTGGAAAATAGAGGATTTTTCAATAAAAAGGAAGTTCGTACAAGAATTATTATTCATACTTAAAGAACACTATACTCGTGTTACTTTGCGTTTCATAAATATATTTTAACTACTTATTGAATTGATAAGTAGGTTATTGTTATTTATTTATTTGTTTGTTATATTCCTAGTGGGACACAGATTGAGTAGCACGTCAATATTTCACTATATTCTCTGAAGTCTTTTCAACCTGGATCCACAACTCCCCACAACCTCTCATTTCTTCATCACACAATCTCCTCCATGTCACCCTCGCCTCGGATACACAACTCATCGTTTCCCATTTGGACTCCACTCGAGGGTCTGTCCTGGAACCTGATGTCCCCAAATGGTCTTCTCAGTGTATGTCCAATCCAGTCCAATCGAATCACCATCGGAGGCGAAATCCAAATCTTCTAGGTCTTCTCATCTGTCAAACTGCGTATGCTCACCTTGTCGCTCCTCATAGTTGTCTGTTGCATGGTCCAGTTCACTTCAGTCCAGCCCAGTTCAGTCGAGTGGAGTCGACCACACTCAGTAAGATGATTGGTGACAGTAGGCAACAACCTTGTCTTACTCCTGTCTTCACTTCCACTCTAGAGGCATCACTGAGCTATCCGTTGTTTGTGAATCACTTGGCATGTAGCGTCATCATGTAGCATATAGCAGTTGAATGAGGTTGATAAAGGTCTGTGGTGTTGAAACCGTAGTGTTGAAGCAGTTACCTGTCAAATTACTTCTCGTTCGACACTATCAAAGGTCTTTTCAAAATCCATGAAGTTGATGTGAGGTGAAGAGAGGACTCTCACTCTACTCTCTGTTGTATGATGATGGGTAGTATGGCGTTTCAATTTGATGCGCACATGATTTGTTTTTCCTGAAACCAGCCAGCCATCCTTTTTACGCGGTACTTTTGAATTCGGTGGATTTTGTAGTCTCTTCAGGATGGTGCAGGTTGATATTTTGCTTTTGTTAGTAACTTGCTGTCAATTCATTAATTAGTTTGCTTCCAGGAACGGGACTGATTAGTAATTTTATTCCTAATACTTTTTTCATCACACGGGAAACGAACTAAATATGGTATTGTAGATATTTTATATTCAGTTGTATGTGCGTAATGTCGTATGCACTTGCTCTCCGTTTAGCCTGACGACCAACATGCAGAGAGCTTTGAGTGAAGAGAATGCTGGTCATCTGATAAAATAACTCCTATCAGGTGTCTACATGAGTTAACATGTTTGTCTGCAACAGTTTTAACTAGAAAGTTTAAAGGTAAACCACCACTAGTTCTACTGACAATCTTCAAAGCTCTACACATTACAGCAAAGTCTTTTTTCACCAACTCCGGAAAGAATAATGGGGAGCAATACAGGAGAATAGACAAGATGCAGGAGTTTATAAAACACAAGAGGAGAGATTGAGTTGTGCCAGATACTCTCAGCTTCCTAATATAGAAAGTGAGGCGGGAAAATCTTCTGTAAATTAGTAAGATTTGGGAGGTTTAGAAAAGGTCCGACGTAAAACACACACCGAGATCAATCACGCTTGTAAAATTGTCTAATGTACAACTATCAATGGAACACGAATCGTGAGAATTGAGCAGTTTATACAGGTTACGTTCTCGTCTAAAACTAAAGTGTATGGCCTGATATTTTGAAGAATTAAACACAAAACCATTCGCTAAGGACCATCGTTTAACAGTAGATAGGAAATCATTCAATAGGCAACAATCTGTTGAAGAAGAGACAGGTGTGTAAACTGTTAGGCCATCACTATATTTGATGAAATTGATACTAGCTGAATATAGTAAGTCATGCAGAAAGAATGAGAAAAGACAGGGGGAAAGGATGGCTTCTTAAAGAGCATCAGTCACAGTAAACAATAGGGTGGAACTCTTCCCTCTTTGAACAATATGTTGTTTCCTTTCAAAGAATTAGAAATGTAGTCAGCTGACTATCCAGGACTCAGTATTTGTCCCGGTTAGCCTGTCCAGCAAAAGAGGTCTTGGGACAGAATCAAATGCTGAAGTATGTTTTAAAGAGGCACACATGATACATCTGGGATTTTTATCAAGATTACTGTAATGTTGTGATATAAGACAGTGGTAGGATTCAGAGTGTTTCTTCTGCTTATATAAGCAAATTGATTAGGGTCTGAGAAAGCCTTCAATGAGGGTTCAAGCACACGTATTATTAGCTTCTCAACTATTTTCAAAAACCGGTCTCCAAGCAGACATATTTTTCTCTTAAGATTTTGGAGAAAAAGTATCTTTGCAACTGAGTCCATTTATAGTTCACTATAGTATCATACCACTTAGCTCAGTAGACATACTAAAAACTTCGGTGAGCATATACCACGAAGCAGGTACATTATTACAACTGAAATCAATGGTTACATACTCAAGGTGATATAGCCCAAAATCGGCTTCAGTGGAGGATATGCTTCTATCCATTATCTTCAACGTAGTCGGTATACTGCATGTCATGATCATTTATTTAACGCCTACTACTTTTGATTAAATCGTTCTTTTTCACCGCATTATCTATCTTCGTGCGTCCCTATATCTTAATATGCTGATGTCAGGTGTTGTAACTTCGACAGTTAGCTGATAATGCCAGTTCCCATATTGATGTGGCCTAACTGACTGCCTGACAGACAGACAGACAAACATTGATTACAGTTACAAATTTGTTATACAGTTTCAAATGATGGAAAATACATCAAGAAGTATTATGACCACAATTACAGTGTCTACCAAGATCAACTTACATGGCATACACAAAAGTGTTTTCCTGTATCACATGACATTTTCTTGTCCCAGTTTTATCACAATATTTATCACATATATTTTCAGATCTACAATGACCTATGAACAGAAAAAAATATTCATCAACTATTACTCTAAAAAAATATTCATATATATATATATATATATATATATATATATATATAATCATTTTGACTATCTGCGACAGCCGTGGTTTGGCAGACTAGTATTTATACTGAAGGTGAAATAGAAATTTAGACCACGGTGGGATTCGAACCAGACACCACGGAGTTTCTGGCCCGATGTTCTACCAACTGAGCTACCAGGTTGTTAAATGACTTCAAAGGCCACTCTAGCATTGAGTTAAATAACTAATTATATCTCTTCATTCCATTTGGAAAGGCAGATTATTACAAAATGTAAAAGTCAAACTGGTTGCTTCACTTGTTGATAAGATGGCCCTTACGGTCACCTGGTAAAGCTTAGATAAATGTGTAGTTGTGGTTGACTGTCAACCGGTAGGTCATAATATCGGACACCTTCCCAACTACTAAGGTTTGGACAGCCAGGTAGTATCACTGGCGTTTACACGATATGTGTGCTTCAGTATGTACTATATGAATGTGCACTAAGTTGCTGAGGGGATTTCTGTTCTTCTGTTTTTATCTTCAAAATAATAAATGTGAAGAAAAACATGAATAGGTAGTGAAAGCAAAACAGAGATAGAGTGTTGACTTGGTTGTGGCTGACAGTGAAATCCAGGATGCACGTTTCATCCTATTCAGAACCCACTGGCTGGATGTACCTGCACCCCAGGGATTGATGGTGCCCCCTCTGAAACTAGAACCTCCTACTCAGCGATTCAAGCACTGAAACCACTGAGGAATATCGAGGTATCCACATAAAAACACATTGACCAACACAAGTTGACCAATTATATCCAGTGCTATAGCAGAAAACTAAAATATTAATAACTGAAAAAGATAAATATTGTATGGTACAAAAAATCAAGTCTATCTAAACCATTTTATTTGGTTTAAAGTATGCCACGTTGATAGATCCGGATTTTCTACACTAATTCAGTCAACTCAGTGTTTCCATATGCTTCAGAGACTTGGCATGTCATGAAAAGCATTCCCAACAAACAAGTGCATACATTCATGAACAGCTGTCTACACTGGCTCATTACTGAAGCTGAGATGGATTGTCAGCAAGGATAAGCAACAAGGAACTCACTCTGGCTGGCTGGTTGGCTTGCTGGGTGGGGGGGGGGGGGGTGGCTGGCTGGCTGGCTGGCTGGTAACGGACCAACCAACAACCTATTGCTCAATAAATATACAGAATGAAGTGGAGATGGATTTGATTGGGCATGCACTGAGAAGACCATTTGGGGACATCATGCGGTAGGCCAGGCCGTCGAGTGGAACCCAGATTGGAAGCGGCGAGTTGGGCGTCTGAGTTGAGGTTGATATGGAGGAGATGGTGTGAGGAAGAAATGAGAGTTGGTGTTGAGTGGTGGAGTTGGGTTGGAAGGATTGTAGAGAAGAGAATGTAATGGAGACGTGCTAATGAATCCGTATGTTCTACTAGGAACCTCAGCGACAAATAACAAAATAATAATAGTCGATATGACTTTACTTACTTTTGAATTCCCAGGAGTTGACTTACTCCATGCGGGGCAACTATCTGACTTAGTGAATGCAGAAAACATCGTCATGTTAGGCGAATACGATGACAAATTTAGTCTTTTGAATACTATAAGTCGAAATATATTTGGCATGAGTTTCACACCTGTCAGATGTAAGATGATGCTTCAGGACTTTTCTGCAACTACTTCCAGTTTATGGATAAGAAATGTGGTGGTAGCATGCATTGATCATTTCACTTACTTGGAAGGGTGCATCAGCATAAACAGTCTGGCCGCTGATGAAATCTTAGCTCGGATACAGAAGGCTCGTATGACGTATACCAGCTTGCGTCATATGTGACGCCGACTGGCAAGATTTCCGACTACTTGTTACAGGACGAATTTACTGCACTGCAGTTTGTTCAGTCCTGTTATATGTCTATGAGATATGACTGTTAAAAGTAGAAAATAGAAAGAGACTACAAGTTTTGACCATAGGTATCTTCTTAGTATCGCTCACGGTAGGTGGAATCATCATATGAGTACTGTCAAGGTTAGTCAGTGAGGTTGTGAACCTTCACCAACTGGGGTGGCTTGGACATGTGTTGCTCATGTTGAGTTACTACTTATCTCAACATGAAATGCTAGCTGAAGGACTAGGTTGCAAGAAGACTCAGGGCGACGAGATAAAAACCTGGCATGAAGTCTCTGACTGTTGGTCTAAGCCTAGGTGTAGACTACCTAGTTGGGTTCTTCGACACAACAGGAAAGAATGACTGGAGAGGTTGAAATTTGTCCACAATGATGAAAATCTATTTACCGTTTTCGACATCTTTGCGAGTATAGACATTTTCTCTATCCTTGATTTCCTAATTCCCAACTGACTAGTTGTAGACCACGTACACCAGCTAGATGAAGGTCGCGACAATAGTGGACAGCAGTTTTGCTCGCTTGAGACAGAGGCCATCAGTACTTTATCTGGAAGGATTCAGCATACACTATACTCAATACAGAAGGAAATCATTACTGTCAACAATTACCTACAAAGTGAAGCAAAAATCCAGATACAAAACAATAGGACTTCACAGAAATATGCATAGGTTCAATTTGCTGAAAAAATTAAATGAAGGCGAAGTTATTAAACTGAACAAGAAGGATGACTGCCAAACGAGAAAATTCAGTGTAATCTCCTTTCAAGAACTCAATCTCTTAGACATATACCGTTAAATTACTTAAGAATTGGAAAATATACCAGGGGAAACCGACAGTCCAGTCATTCACCTTTATATGACAACATTCATAACTATCAGACAGTGAATACCATCAGCTCTGATAAATTATTAAGAGGAAATAAAAACGAAGCTAATCATAGCTAGAATGTTTAGAATAACCTGTTTCTTTTTCATATTGCTAACATTTTCATGAACCTACATCCATTTATTCCTTCCGCTGTCATATACTTTTTGATTATTTTGTTTCTGTTCGATTTGATTGTATGTTGTTTTTTCTTTAATGAATTGCTACACGTTGAATTCAATGCACTTTTGTACTGGTTTCTCCGTTGTTGCCTGTCTGTCTGCCTGTATGTCTGTTTATCGTTTGCCTACCTATCTGTCTGTCTGCCTATGTATCAACTATATGTCTCGGTCTATCGATCTGTCTATCTCTTGACCTATCGATCTGCCTATGTCTGTCTGTCTGTCTCATGGTTGGTATATTGTTCTATAATATAAGCTGGAGATTTTCTAAATGTTTAAATAGGAATTTCCAATAAACTAGAGAGTTTAACAAGGAGAAAAATAGACAAAAATAATAAATACCAAAAGGATCACCTTCATAGCCTTTAATACTATGCCATGTATGGTCTGGTTGACATTCACATTGATAATCATTTTCAAGATAACCATTCATTGTACATTTACTTGATATTGTATTAGTCATATCAAGGCATGGATTAGTTAAGCATAGATTTGGACAAATCCATTTGGTAAATAATAATCATTATAATTATTAGTTAAATTTCTGTACTTTTCAATAGTTCGACATAAATCATAGATAAATAGAACACTCCATTCATCATGTATTTTACTTAAATCCCCCTCATAGACTTTTTTATTTGGTCTGAAATGGAACCAAATATTAGAGCTGCCTAGAGCTAATAAGTAGTATAATCTCCATGCATGCATTAATAATATATGTAGTGGTTTACCTGGAATATATTTCTTTGGCATAATTGGTTTGTTATATACATTTCTTATAAAATTATATAGAACAGTTGTAAAATTTGTAGAATTTGCTACATGAATAAAATGTAAATAGGTTTTATCAATTGAATAGGTTGTAACAATCTTTAATACATCAATAAATGTTTCATTAATACTTTTTTCACTATTAGGTATAGATTTATTCATTAATAATTCAGATAATTTGAGATAAAAGAACATTATTTGATCTAATCGACCATAAATTCTATGGCCAATATATAAATGATGCATATTTTCTATCATATAACTTCTTATTATACCAAGACGTTGTCTACGTGATTGTATATGAAGCATATCATCAAATGGTGTAAAATGTGAAAAAAGTGGATGTATTTTTAAACCAGGACGATTTGGTGTTAATAAATTTAACCTTGAGAAGTCATTAGGTTTAGAAAAGTTTATTAGAGTTAAAAAGAATAACTTATATCCCAGAAAATACTGAATACTTTCCCACATAATATGAATAAATTTATTAACTAACTACTGGTCGTATATAATATATATATATATATATATATATATATATATATATATATATATATATATATGCATTTAAATAAAGTATGAAAAATCGATATATCTTATCGATTGATTGCCTTTAAATGTGTATAGCTATTTATCATTACTAATTGTATGTAACACCAGATTAATCCCAATTCTATGATGATGTTCATTTGTTGGAGTTGTACGCAAACGCATATTATCTTCATCTTATCGGTGAATTGACTCCTGTAGTTACCATCAAAAGCTTCACCTAACATTTTTCAAAAATCTCAAAAAATTAAGAGATTCTCAAGATGTTAAAATCAAACAGTACTGATGTAGATCATGAGGATAACAAGATTATTAATGATGATATTAAACCCAAATGGTGGAAGAAGATGATATTTGCTATCTGCGAAACGTAAACAGTGATAAGACCTCTTAATCAACCTTTATCAAAGTGTAGAGTTAGGAGATATTTTTCATCATGCAGGCTGGACTATCACTGATAGTATTTAACGAATTTAGAGAGTACAATTCACGCACAACTCTTGGATTCATAGATTTCTCGAAAAACATATACGTTTGGAGATCGAAATAATGTCAGATAGAAGTACTGAGGATTTTTCATTTGGGAGAGATATAAATAATATATTATTCGCCAAGAACATTGATTAGCTGTGGTTAAAAACGTTCTTTATTGTGAAAAAGACCTCAAAGAGAGATGAGAAACCTTCAACTGAAATATATGAAAGTCAAGATGAATCAATTTATACTTGTAAGCAATAAATTCTTCTGGAAACTTCATCAGTACATAACAATGTTTGACTACTAGCAGAAATATACTCTACCACAGTGCTTAAATTCTATTCTCATTTCACTGCAACCTATATCCAAGCAATACATATTGAAAGAGTGTGATTGTCTAACAGAAGCTAGTAGATCTAACTGTTTCAAAGAAATCTAGGAAAAGTACCTCCGAAAAAGCGTGTTTGTGAACCCATTAGTATAGTGCAATTAACTAGTAACGGCAGGTAAAGAATCATCGAAAAGTTATACGTAGATACATCACCCGCCATTCTTAACCTATGAAATTTCCCGAGTGCAAGTTGTATTGGAACTATGCTAAGTAGAGAAACAGTTGTGACTTTGTAACGACCAACTATTGATAGGTTTTCGTCTAACCTGTAGATAGGTAGGTAGGTAGGTAGACAGGTAAGTTGTTTCAAGAGGGGGGACGCGTAGAGCAGTGTCAGTTTATTGGTAACCACGAGAATCTGGAAAGGGAAAGAGAAGGAGAAAAACGTGAGCTGACGACTCAGCAAGTATACTGGATTACAACCACTTAGTTCTGACTCTGTGTTGCGATTTAGGCGTAAGAAGAGCCAATATGTGGACACAAAGTGCTGGAATACCCTTGTAAATAATAAACTTTGCTGAAAACTTTGAACGTAAGTGAATGTGGATACTTAAGGGTATTTACAGCATATAGATCCACCAGATGTCACTAGAAAAATCAAATTACAGTGGATTTTAAGTTGTAAAATAGTGTCGTGGCTATACAAAGTGGGATACCACATTGGGTGCTGCTTTTTAGGTACAAGAGAGAGGTCGTTCTCAAATGAAAGATTAGGTACTTATACTATTGGAATATACTTGGAAAATTAGTTGTTAAAAGTATGTCAATGAAGACCTTCTCACTGATAGTTATCCGAACGTTTTGGCCATAGGAAACATATTTTTTTCCTAAGGGAGTTCATAAATAATTCAGTACGCAATTGACACACACCGTGAAGACCAATATAAAACGGCATTTATGATAAGTACTGGACTATAAGAATTTTAGACGATACCCTCCATCTTGACCAATATACCTACCATACATCAAAGATTCATGGACACTGTAATGATAAGTTGGGTTTTCTAAGATATAGCTAGTACACCTACGAAAAGTGACTGGGTATGAACTGCAGTATAGAAACACCTGAAGAATCATAAAGTGGTCTTAGAAAGTTTATGAGGAGTAGCATACAAGTACTAATTGCAGAGACATGTCTTGGCAATGTCATAGATGCACAAGAATCAAATTCAGGCAGTGAAAACAGCCGCGCTGTTCAAATTAGCTTGTACCATAAGATGCCGTTGAATCTTGACATCCTTTTGGTTTAATTATTAATTACCAAAGATTTCCAAAAATGTCAACATCATTGTACAATGTGCTGGAAAAAATGGTGCTTTTCTACATAGTGATCAGCTTTAAGAATCATTCGATATTTTAAAGTAATTGGTGTTTTTCCGTTGTAGATCAGTTGTTTTCTAATAGGAATGTAGGTGATTACGTAATCACGATGGAGATTTCAATACACACATACATACATACATAAATTAATAAATATCTTTATTCTCAGGTTATGAATTTAACATGAGAGAAGCCGGTTTACAAGCCTCATCAAATTGATAATTGCAGAGAATGGTACAGAGGGAAGACACTAAACTCTATCATGATACCAAGTGTCTAAATGTTATGAAAATAGCAGGAAAATATCACTTTACAGTACATACCCATCGTTCTGAGTTTAAATCATTCCTACTCACAATTCTTTTTTCACATCAAACGGCGCAATATTCGGTGTTTGCATCATGAGTAGTTGACATGATTGACCCATCTTCAAAACCCAGTGTTTCGTCAGATAAACCTCTATTTTAACAGTAATTCTTATGTTCATAGCTCTGTTGACCAACAATAACTTACTTCAATAATTTCAGGAATAAGTAAGTATCCGTACAACCATTTAATCCAGGTGAATGTCTTAGTTCTGGCATTTCTCACTCTTCAAGTGTTACCTTTCCCAGCAATTCACATTGGTAGTACTGAAAAAATTTGTTGTGGTGCAAGTAATTAAAGAGTGGAAGAATTGTCATTCAACAGTGGTGAATATTACACACATGTAAAACTTCGTAGACTTCACATTAAAGTATGCAACATTGTCAAAGAGATACATTCGCTGTTAATTGACTTCTACTAGATAAATTGATACAAGACAAAGTACTAGAGAAATCTGTTGCGTAGCATTATTATGGATGTGTTGTCGTTAGGTAAAGTGATCTCTCTGGTTTGATTATTTATCCGGATTTCCGCTGCATTTGTCACGGATCAGAAATCGGAGACCAGTTATTGTGCTTAGGGTTTCTTATGTGGTATTATTTAGGGTACTGGTAGGCAGGTGAGTTGATTATGAAACTGTTCAAGAGACAGGAAATCGGGGGCAAGCCAGTTTAATACTTGTAACATCGGTTTCCAGTATTATGTACGAAGTAGGATTTTCAGTAAGTCGATACTTTTTGATCAAATTAATGCTTACGACTTTCTCGTCAGGCTGATACTCAAAAGAGAAGAGAAAAGAAAGCGCAAGTTAAACACTTCATTCGTTGTGGAGACAAATTAAAATAAAACTCCCTTCTGAGTTTCTTACAGTACAAATGTGTCTAAGCCCTCTGACGGTATCATAGACATTGGTAAAGCCAGAAGCAAATATATTTCAATATCACAGCTTAACGTAAACACAGCTTTGAGTGGGTCAGGTTTGTGAGGAAAAGTTCTGCTAGGAAAAGGTGCATGTCGTGCATTTACAACTGAGGAAGTAAGTGTGAATATGGACTCACTAGCAAGAGTGGCTTCTAAAGTATATTGGGAGATGATTGGTCTATATAAAATAGTACGAGTATGAAAAGACTCTTCAAGGTTAAATAAATAAAGTGAAGAATTATTGTTTTCATTTCTTTGTGTTCGGTTTTAATCTCTTCATTGGTAGCAGTGTTTTCTTTCCACCATTCACATAGGCTGTTGATTAGAACTGTAAGACAAAAAACCCAAAGACTGTGAAAGAAAAACTACACAAAGATGTATTTCAGATAGACGGCTTATGAAGATTTGATTGATTCCGTTACATCATTCATCACGAACTGATATCAGGTGGAGAACCACTGAAAACTTGAGTGAACTGTATAGTTGTTTTATCGTAGTATACTATCCTCTTCAGTACTGAGCATCTACGAACCTATCAAAGATTCAGCCCAGGACCTTCAGGTTTTGCATTGAGTGAGCTACTAGTGAGCCAGCAAATAGAAAAGTGTTCGTTGTATCTTCATTTTGATTTGCCGTAGCAGCTGCGTGGACAACCTCGAAGTAAGTAGGAAGCTGTTTTAATACTTAATATGATGATGCGTAGCTTTGCGTTGCGACTTGATTTGCAGAAGGTTGCCGCCTACTATCACCGATCATCTTCCCAGTTGTGGTCGACTCCATTCGACTGGATCATGTAACAGACAACTGTGAAGATCTTTGAGAAGATGGCCATACACTGACTGGACCGATGAGAAGACCATAGAAGATTTGCATCACACTGCGATGATGATTTATGTATTATATCTTGTCGCACACACTCGAAGATCTACAGACGAAGACTAATAAGTTGGTAGAAGAGGTAAGGTGAGTTGAGGTGGGGCAGCAATGGAAGACGGGACTTCCTTCAGATGAAGATGGACAGGGAAAAGACAGAGGTGGGGGTGATAGAGATACCCAACCAACAACAACAGCAGCAGCACCAGCAACAAGCACCAATCACCACCAACGCGAAACATCTAGAGGAAGTTGTCCCTTACACCTACCTACCTACCTGCCTAGTCAAGGTAAGGCAGCATCGTTTCAACTACAGGCGGCGGTGGTGGCGACGGCGGCGCCACACATGAGGATGTCAAAGCAGCCACGATCGGAGAGACAGCAAGACAGGCCTTCCTGCATTAATATGAAATCAGTGTGGAGATCTATTACACTGCACTCCACTGCACTGCACTTCACTCAGCATGAAGCTTGAACAACATCCGGATTTGCAACACTGATGTCAGTCAAGTGAGTCAGTGCTTCCATGTGATGGTTGAGAGACTTGGCGACGTGTGACGAAAAGCACTTCTAACAATCTGCGGGCA